ATTTTCTAGAATAAGCCTGCTAATTGTAAAGCTGTAAAGCTGAATTGTAAGCTGTATCCCGTCGCAACAATGGCATCTACGATGTCATCTGAGCCCAAACCGAAGAAACAGAAACTGGATGCTATTTTGCCAGCTCTGTTGGATCAAAAGGATGTTTGGATCAACAGCATCCTTCCATTTGTGGGCATGGGCCAGTATGCTTTTGTAGGAACTGTCAACAAGAAGATGAATCACCTCTACAAGGAGTACTGTGATTCTGTGGAGGACCCTCCAATGGTACAGAATCATCAGAATGGTACCAAAATTCAAGCAACCAGCACAGTCACAACCTACAGTGCTGCTTTCTACAATAAGTCCACAGCAGAATTATGGCTCAGTGAAAATTCCGACACTAAATTGCCTCAGCATGACACAGTGTGCACAGCCATTGCCAAGCATGGAAACCTTAGAGTCATTCAGTGGGCCTATGAGAAAGGATTTCCATGGAATAAAGACACATGTGCTGCGACAGCCAAGGGTGGGCATCTTGATTTTTTTAAATGGTTGCGTGAAAATGGTTGCCCATGGGACATTGATACTTGTGCTGCTGCAGCCAGGGGTGGGCATCTTTATGTATTGAAATGGTTGTGTGAAAATGGTTGCCGGTGGGATGCACATACTATTGATTTTGCTGCTGAAGGTGGGCATTTGGAGTTGTTGAAATGGGCCCATGAAAATGGTTGCCCTTGGAGTGTACCCACTTGTGCATATGCTGCCCAAAGTGGTCATTTGGAGTTGCTGAAGGCAGTGCAAATGGCTGCCATGGAATGCAGCAACTTGTGAGAAGGCTGCTGCAAGTGGCATTTGGAAATACTAAAATGGGCACGTGAACACGGCTGTCCATGGAATCCAAGAATATGTGCATTTGTGCCCAGCATGGTCATTTGGAAACATAAATGGGCCTGCAAATGTGCCCATGGAATGAACTTGTACAAAGGCTGCTTATGGGGACATTTGGAATCTAAATGGGCATGAAACATGGTCCCTGGAATGAAAGACGACTTGAGAAGGCTGCTGGGTGGCATTTGCGTCTGAAATGGGCCGGCAAATGGTGCCCATGGAATGAAAGAATTTGTGCAAGGCTGTTATGGTGGACATTTGGAAGTTTGAAATGGGTACGGGCAAATGACTGCCCATGGGATGAAAGAACTTGTGCAAATGCGGCTGAAGGAGGGCATCTGGAGGTACTGAAATGGGCCCATGAAAATGGTGCCCATGGAATGTGGATACTTGTACAGAGCAGCCAGAGGTGGGCATTTGGAATGTTTGAAGGGCCGGAAAATGGTTGCCACTGGAATGAGCAAACTTGTTCAATTGCTGCCAGAGGTGGGCATTTGGAGTTGTTGAAATGGTCCAGAGAGAATGGCTGCCCCTGGAATGAGCAAACTTGTACATATTATGCTGCTATGGGTGGGCATTTGGAGTTGTTGAAATGGGCCCATGCAAACGGCAGCCCATGGAATACAAGGACTTGTGCAATGGCTGCCAGAGGTGGGCATTTGGAGTTGTTGAAATGGGCTCGTGCAAATGAATGCCCGTGGAATGCAGAAACTTGTGCAAATTCTGCCAGTGGTGAGTACTGAAATGGGCCCGTGAACATGGCTGTCCATGGAATGCAGACACTGTCACACAGGCTAGAGATTTTCGCCACTACCATGTTTTGGATTGGGCCCTTGCAAATGGATGTCCTGATGTTATTAGAATTGATGTCGGCTGACTGTACAGTTGGAAGGGATTGTGGAATGTCTAAAGGATACGTTACCGCTACCGTACCACAGCACTTGTGGTCAGAATTCTCCATCTCCATCTGCAATTGCCTTCGTATTTAATTTGATACGGTACATTGGCGTTTGTTGCGAGACTAAGAGTGTAGACGTACCCGTTAATGTACGAGGTTGGGACGATGCCTCTGAGCAAACGATGCCGCGCGTTGTTGCTCTATTTGATAGTCCCACAACATGATCTTGTTACTGCAATGCCTTATACAGCGACAGCACCCAAACGTCAGTTGCTAATGGCCTCTGCTGAGCAAGAGATAACTGGTGTTGCCGCTCCATTTGGTGATGCTGTAACTTCCAGAGTGTTTTTGGGGCGACGCCATCGCCAACCACACGTTGTTTGTTCTTAGGATTGGGCCCCATCACATTGCTCCAGTTCTTGCTTATGAAATTCGTAAACGTCCAATGCAACTTGATACACTCGAGCGGCCGCTGCGATTTCGGGACTCTTTTCCTTAATCTCCTTCTGGAACGTTTCATCCTGGAACTGCACTTTACAACGTTTCCATTCTTTTCCGTACCCTGATCCATGCGGATCACCCGTGACTTCTGGATTCAACGAGGTATCCATGTAGTCTACCCGCTTTCGAATCATGTCAAAAAAGTCCTTCGTTTTGGGAAAGATCCCAACAACCGCAAACGAATTTCGCAAATTGTAGGCAGCCTGGTCTTCCATGACTTTTAGGTACCTTGCCATTTGTTTCTTCCGCACCGCCTCGAAGGACCCATACCTCGTATTGATGAACTGCAATTGCCCCATACAATGTTCACCACAAAAGTAAATGAGATATTCCATAGCAGATTGTTTTCCCCATCCGTATGCGAGTTCCTGGACATTGTCGCACTGTGTTTTGTGTAGTTGATTGCGATTGCCGTCCTGTTTTCGTTTCTTTGCCACCACGGCGTATTCCCAATCGGATTGCTGCTCTCCCACAAAGGGTACAATTACTTGTCCGTCACCACTCGCTGCCGCATGCTCCAATCTCCAAAAGAAACGACTCGTGAGCCACGCAAAGGGTTCTCGTAACAGTGTAACTCGCAACACGGGCAGAGACGCGTAGACGGACGACCAATGCAGTTCGCTCTCGGTTAATTGCTTTCTTTGAGATTGGGACGTACTACTACCGTGAATGGCTTTGCGTGCCAAAAGGTCCGACTCTTCCACCATTGGTTTCATGCATTTTTGGTAGAGTCTCATGTACCAAAATCGTTTGGTCAAGGAGCCACTTTTACACATTCGCTTGACGGTCCGTTTTTGGGTGGCATCAAAGACAAGATGACTGCGGTTGAATCGATTGGCCAGTTTTTGCCCCACTGCCCGAATGTAATCGTCTTGTTCTTTCTTGACACCACTGGTTTGAGTTGAACTTGTACTGCTGCTGTCTGATAATGGCAATGACCTCGACCATGTGGATTGATTCCACCACTGCACCAAAAAGGACGTGGGCAACCAGTGCAGCTCGTTGCCAATCACATTGTGGCCCAAGTAGATGGTATCGCATCTACTACTGCTAATACTACTAGTGTTCTTATTGGCAGCAGCAGTTTTCTTGTAGTAGTTTCGGTCACTTTCTCGATGAGGCTCGCACATGTCCTTTTCAAAGCCACATGCCATGGCATGCCCCAACGGCGTCGTGGCGTGGCAGGAACTGATTCCTTCAAACGTAAAGATTTTCGAATAGGGAAATTGTTGTTGGTCATTGTCATCGACGTCGTCCATGGGCAAAAAGTTGTTCATTTCACTATTGACCATTTTCCCCTTCCACATTCGACCACCACTGCGAATGGGATAGTAGTAGCTGGGATCTTGTTTGTGGTGGTGCCAGAGACTGCGTTGATAGGCTTCGGCCGAGGCGGCAATTCGTGCCCGGACTTCTCCTCCACCCGCCTTGCCGAGATGGACAAAGATAAAGGGTGTTTCATTGCGGGGTGTACAACCCCATGCCCGAATGGTGGTGGAATTCATGGGCGGTGGATCGAAAAAGAAGTCTGTATTGTGGCGAATTGTGGTTGGGAGTTGCTGCTTGGTTTTATTCGAGGTACCTGCCTTTTTTTCAGGGGAATCTGCTGAAGTAGTAGTAGTAGCTGCAGTGGATCGTGGTGTCGTTTGCAGAGAGACTTTGTACGACCGTGTGTGTTCCACGGATCTCTTGTGGAAAAACTGGTTGTCCACAGTGAGCTCTTGTCGTTGTTTTTGTATTTGGCTTTGTGCTCGTTCTTGGTTGGATTGAAACGCTTGTTTCATGATTTGATCCACGTGGGTCTTTGTGTTTCTCCTCGATTCTTTGGGCGGCTCTTTGACTGTCTCCAGTATGGATGGATCATTATCATCATGGTTCGCAGCAAAGGATTCCATGATTCGTTGCGTTTGGCTCTTCTTCTTTGGCGTTTGATCTTGCTGTTGCTGCTCGTAGAGAAGGATGGCCGTAATGGGACCAATGGACTTTGCAATTTGAAGGGCCACCAGCAATACTGACAAAGCGGCCAGTGCCACTCGGGCCAGGAACGTCTTGCTCGATTTCATGGATCCTCCTTCACACTCTGGCTATTACCGGTACCAAGTACATGTAGCTAGCTACCGTATCGGAAAACAAAAGCAATGAAATCATTCATTCAACCAACTACTTCAAAGCTGCCGATACCCTTGTGACGCGATAACGGCAACTGATGGACAACTTTGGCGCTGGGTGCCATGGTGCCATCTTGGCTTCGTCCTTCCAACCTTGCAGGAGTCACGAGTCGAGTCGAGTCGACTGCTCGACTACGTACATGTAGTCGACTCTGACTCGACTCGACTCTGCCTCGTGGATGGATACAGTTCTTACTAGTTTTAGGGGGGGTTAGGCACCCCGCAGGGGGGCCCATGGGGTGAGAAGAGAAAAAGAAGGAGAGGGTTAGATTCCATGTTCCGAATTGTGAGCGCCCGGAGACCATCCAAGCCAACCGCTCCGGTCATAGAATGACAACAAATACATATACGAAAGAGGGGCTCAGGCATACATTGGTGTCGTACCCCCTTTTTATATAAGGCTCAGAGGGTCAATCTGTCACCAAACGGTACTCCATATGTCAGCACCGACGTCCTCCACATTCAAATCAAGTCCCTTCAGATTTGAACCAACGTGACTTAAACCTGGAGTTTTTTTTTCTCTTCTTTTCCCGGTCCATAAATTGGGCATCCTTCTGCTACCCACAACCATCCCATTTTGCTGATTAATACGTGGAAACTCTTAATTTTATTTGATGCTACTACATTGCGTAACCATGGTAACGATAGCGGCACCACTGATCATGCGGCGGCCTCCCAACTCTGTGGGTCAACCATTGACAGTATCGTGGACAACAACCTCTTGCTGGTGGACGATACGCAGCGGGAAAAGCTGGCAGCATGGCCATGGCCAAATATTGCATCTGCATCTGCTGCATTTGAAATTGGCCGATCGTTGGCGGGGCTGGCGCAATCAGTAAGTGTCGGTTTTGTATTTGTTGTTGTTGCTGTTGCTGTTGCTGTTGCTGTTGCTGTTGCTGTTGGAGATGACCGTTATTCGGAATACTTACAGCGCTTGTCCTAATTGTTTGGGTAGCCGCTACAGGAGGACGTTCTGGCGATGGTGGATTTGAATTGGGTGGTGGTGCAGTTGGGGGTTGCATCACAGTTTCTTGTTCCAGTGGTTCCACCACTGGTTCTTGCTCCAGTGGTTCATCCAGCATTTCAATCTCCATGGATTCGTCAGACTCACAGAAGGCGCAGAGGCAATGGCCAATTGGGCTGTATTTTTGTAAGCGAGGCTTGCAAGTTGTGAGATATTCCGAGAAGAATCGCTCACCAGTATCCGATTGCAGCTTTTCTGCCGTAGGAAATGGGATATTGCCTCCATCGATACCACACTCGATGGCAAGTCTGTTGGTGTACCACAGCTGTGTGTGATTCCAGTACGGTACGACTCGTTCCCACCCAGCTGGAATTGGTCGGTTGTTATTCTGCTGTCGAATTTTGATGAGAGTTCTCTTGTGTCTAATGGAAAGATTGTACCGCGCTGTTCCCAACAAATTCAAGTTATCGGCAAGGCTCCTCCTCATTCCAGAGTTCGCGAAGTGGGCAAAGCGATCATGAAAAGCCTCCAATTTGCTTTCTCCTCGCCTGGATAAGTACTCTGTAAGTTGGTGCTTGGAGTGGCTTGATGGAGCAATCTCATCGTACATTTCCTTTGGGGGCATTGAATCAGACAGATGCATTGCCTTGATCTTGCAGTTCTCCACAGCGGTTTTGGTGTCTTCCGTGAATAATGGCACTTTCGTCACTGGATCAAGTCTCCCCTTGGCTGGACGATTTACAGCATCAGACGATGTTACCTTGTAGCGACAGAACCAGTTATCCAGCATTTGAACCATTGTTGCCGGTTCTCGAAGCTGCTTTCGGAGGTATTTCGAGTATCGATCGCGGAAGATTTTGGTTCCAAGCATGTCGTCAATCCCATCAGACGAGAAGCACTTTCGTGATACTGACAATGAGCCATCTTTGAGGGAACAAAGAAGCTTCTCGTAATCTGAAGGTTCGTAGCAATACAAGCAGGATAAAAGCCCCGACAGTGCCTCGAAATAATCAATGTGAGACTTCCTCAACGTTGATGTAATTCGTTGCTCAAAATGGAACAGACCAAGTCGACCTTCGATATTTGGAAAGATCGCATCCCAGAAGTCTTTCTTGCTTGGCCAAGTGTCACTGTAAAGCGCCTTTGGAGTGAAGTCTTTTCTTCTGGATAGCTGGATGGCGGCATGAGAGAAGTGGATGCTTTGAGTGGTTGGTACCAAAACAGCACATGCAATCTCTCCAGTAGAGGTGGCGACATCCCAGACAGCAGCAGCTCCAATATTCTTCTGGTAATTCTTGGCAACTTGGAAGGTGTGGTCCTGTGTAAAGATACCCTCTGGGCATTGTACACTTTGTATCTCCCTCACAAGTCGATCATGGTCGCTTATTTTCCACAGGTTCTTGGGTGTGGAGGCAGCTTTGTCGAAGATGTCTCTGACGGTGTCACCCAGCGGGGGATATTGACGGATGTAGACACCGTCCTTCTCAATATAAGGATGAATGGTGGTATTCGGTGAGTGCTTCTTTTTCGCTTTGGCAAATGCATAGTATGATGTGACACGGCTAAGATACTGATTGTTAATGGCGTCAAAAAGCATCCTGCTGCATAACTCTCCATTGCCATAGGTGACCATGATTGAATTGAAGACATCAGTAGCTGTTTTCGAAAGGTGACTATTTTTGTCAAGGGCATATTTGGGGTCCACCGGATACATTGAAGAGACATGGGCTGGGAGGTTGATCAGTTCATCTGCCGAGTTTGCATCGAACCGTCTTTTGCAGCTCTTGCAAACCATTGACATAACGATGCACCAAGCTGGAGCACCATCCAAACCAAAGATGGGGAAGAGTGTCTTATTCTTCGAAAAGTTTGTACGGTGATTGCAGAGGTCTCCACCACACCCGGGGCATGGGATATTGGTTACTCCAAAGCGAAACCAGTCCACAAAAAGAAGGGTTTGACCTTCAATCGAGTGATAGTGTGGATTGATATTGTCTTCAACGTGAGGAACAACAGCAGCGTGGCCATTGAAATACCGGTTGAATAGTGAGTCATTCCTTCGTCTGGTCACCTTTTCTGATATCTGACTTGCAAAGGCAACCATCGCGATTGGAGCCCCTTTAGACTTATGCTGCTCACAAAAGGTGACATCGTTGACCATTGTTGTGACCGCTTTGCAGAGAAGGGTTGGTGTGATGTCGGTACTTGGATTGTCCGGTGGTTTGGTTGAGGTGTCAGCACCGGTGGTTTGTGACTGTCTGGCTGTCATTGTTTTGGGAGGTGCTGACCTTGATCTGCGAGCAAAGAATCGCTCACCGGCTTCCTTTGTTGAATGCCGCCAGCTACCTCTTTCCTCCGCTGTAAGTTTGGTGGAAAAGAGGGTGTTCAATCGCTTCTCCTCGTCATCTTTGTTTTGCATTGTCTCCTCTGACACTTGCTGACCTTTCGTTTTGGTATTCTTGATGCAGAGTTCGTGGTGTTTTCTCTTTGGAACACGGATATCCAATCCCTGCTTTCGAAGAGATCTCGCTCTACACACCTGGCAATCTCTCTCTGGGTCAAACGCAACCTCACCCTCCAGGGTTGCTTGGTATCCTTTCTTTTTCTTTCTCTTGCACTTCTTCTTTGGCGACTTTTGATAGGTTCTCTTCTGAAGTGAATTGCGCTGTTGGCTCTGTCGGCCCATTGTTTCGTTTGTAGCCAAACGAGTTGTGTTCCTTGCATAAGGGTTGAATGGGGTGGTTGAAGAGGTCATCTTTGGTGTTGAATGGTGGTGGTAGCAGCAATCTTTGGGAAGTTAACAAGAGGAGAATGAGCGGGGCTTGGCCATGGTGGCTTGCTTTCAAGGGAATTCAACTTTCGACTTTCTGTTGTTTCGAAAATTCGAAAAGGTAGCACAGTAGCACGTAAGAATAGTCAACTTAGTCATTATGTATTCTTGTGTCTTAGCTGTGTCTTACTTGACTTTACGGTACTCCTCCACCAATCATACTACTGCCTTCTTACCCCGAAAATCTTCTTACTATCCGGATAGTACCAGGTAGTATGTAGCTATTAATAGTACAGTGTACGACTGAATCTGTTCTCGCGAGTCCCGAATAAATTCAATTCTTGCCTGGCCTCACCCAACGGTACGGTACAATACTCAGTACAGTCGTATGGATAGCGTGATTTGTCCCTCACAAATTTTCACTTAGGCTAAGTGCTCGAAAATCCACTTAGCCTAAGTGTGTTACTTAGCCTAAGCAATACACTTAGGCTAAGCAATACACTTAGGCTAAGCCATACAAAGCAACTCACTTAGGCTAAGCGAAACACTTAGGCTAAGTGATGCTCTCCAAGGCATCTTCTCAACAGCACAAGTTCAGCACACGTCCCTGCAGCTTGCTGTAAACAAAGCGCAAACACACAAGTTCCAATACAACCATCACCCACCATATCCTCCGCCTTATGCAAGGCTTCCTGCAAACTGCTCAAGGAACTTCACAAGAAAGAGTTCAATTGGGCTGAGACTGAGATTTAGATCCAGTTTGCGACTTCCCTGGAGGATGGTATCATCCATACATGGCTGCATACTATTAATCTGGCTTTCACCCTTGGCTATAATGTAAATACGTGGAAGTTACTTCCCTCTTGAATGGCTTCCAGTTTCTCTGGTTGCCATCGAAAGTTGGGAAATCAGATAGGGATACCTTGACTAGGTTTTTGCTCTTGGTAGTGGTAGTAGTAGTCTGGACTGTTGGGTTAGGGGCTGTTGCTGGTGCTGTAGTAGTCTGGACTGTTGGGTTAGGGGCTGTTGCTGGCGCTGGCGCTAGCACTTGTGCTGGTGTCGGTGTCGGTGTCAGTTTAGGATTTGGGGGTGATTTCATTTCAGTGTCACAGAAAACATCGCTCCCATATATCTTCAGTGAAGTCCTGTTTCCAACCATCAATGGTTTTTGGAAGATCATTACCTTCTTTCTTAATAGACTGCATCCATCGTTTGAATCTCATAAATTCACCGAGATCGACCTGGGTCAAGACGTTTTTGTCTGTGAGCTCGGCCAGCACTGAATCCTCTGCCATTAGAATTTTTCTGGGTGTGTTTAACCCTGTGGCCGCCAGCTCATCATAGTCATCCTCAGTAAGGTCAATTGTATTGAGGATGTACTTGATAATGTCAATTGTATTGAGGATGTACTTGATAATCTCTTCTCTCTCTCTGTTAGAAGCCATTGCTTTCTAGTTCTTTTTTTTGGTTGTTGTGTGATCAGCTTGTTGTAGAAGCTTGATCTTCCACTAAGCCTGTCTGGAATCTCTGTGTGCGGGACTTAGGTAGGCTTGAAGTGGATTTCAATGTTCTTATGTCTTCTCTGGTGTTCTCTCCCCTTCAGACACGTTCTTTTCTGATCTGATGGGTAAAATGGGACTCAATCACTTAAGTGTTGCGGGTTTCAATGTTTCTGGAGGAGTCCCCTCACTCTTTGCTCAAAATTCTTGCTTTTCTTGTTTGTTTCGTTGCTGGTGTGTGTGTGTGTGGCACCACCTCGTTTACTCGAGGCTTCTTCTGCTCACTCTTTGCTTGTGACACCACCTTGTTTGCTCAAGGCTTCTTCTGCTCACTTCCTGTGGTTTGCTTGTCTTTGTGGCACCACCTCGTTTACTCGAGGCTTCTTCTGCTCACTTCCTGTGGTTTACTTGTCTTTGTGGCACCACCTCGTTTACTCGAGGCTTCTTACGCTCACGTTCTGATTCAATGCTTTAGTTCGGTTCAGTTCAAAAGTCCATTCACTGTTGACTTTAGTTTTTCTTGGTTTGGTTGGTCTATCGCCGTCAATCCACTGTTGACTACTGTTTTTATCGTTGTTGCTATCAACGGAAGCTCCCCTTTCGACGGACTGTCAATTGAGGGAAAGGTATTATGTGCTTGGTTGGTAAGGTGTTTTCGTTGAATTTGGTAGGTCGCTTAGGACAGTAAGTAGCTGAACTACCACGCCTGATAAGCTAGTAGAAAGTAGGTAGTAATGTGATATCTAGTAGTCTTTGGTTGTTTGCTTTGTCTTTATTAGTTCAGGTTGGCTCAGATTGTGAGCTGATTATGCTATCTACTTTTGCTCCTTGGGGGTCAAACCTGCACTTGATTCCTTGTAGATCAGGGGCATTCAGTGGGATTCCCTTGCATTCAGGGGGCCTCAGGTACCACTGGGTTCTGGGATTGAATTACATTTCTACTAGTAGAACACTTAGTCTAAGTGATTCACGTAAATTCACTTAGCCTAAGTGGATTTACGAACACTTAGCCTAAGTGAAAATTTGTGAGGGACAAATCACCCTACCCCAGTTCGATTGTACCAATACTAATGCTAAAGTACAACCGTGGGAACCACCGTGAAGGTACAGCGTACCGTGGGAGTGAAGTCAAGACGAATGTTTTCCTCTTGAATGCGAAGCTGGTACTTCTAGCCAGTTAGTAGTGTCGAGTCTGGCTCTCTAGCTAGCTAGAGTAGCTATGGTGCTTGCCATCTGGTGGAATTTTGGTTGGGGAGGAAAACTAGCTTAGTGATGTCGTTGGGTACTGTAAATTGGGCGGAATTAAAATATTGTTCGGTGCACGGGATGCTCTGGCTGAAAAGAATGAGTTGTGAATAACTGCCTGGATCGTCCGACGGGACTTCAAATTTACACGACTGGAAACAAGCCCTTAAACAAGCCCTTAAATCTTCAACAAACCCTTTTAAACAAGCCCTTAAAAAACAAACCCTTAACAACAAGCCCTTATGCTCTCAAAACAAACCCTTAAGCCTTCATGTAAACCCCATAGAACAAGCCCTTATTTGGAGCAAACAAGCCCTTAAATAAACAAGCCCTTAAAACAATCCCTTAAACCTTCAACAAGCCCTTAAACAAGCCCTTAAAAAACAAGCCCTTAATTGTACTGGAGTCGAGTCAGTCGTGTCAAGTTTTAAAGCCTGAGTGAAAAACGTTGAACGGTCCTACTGCCACCACAACAACTTGAGAAAAGAAATTGGCTGCTTGCATCTTCTTAGTTACGGTACCGTAGAGTGAACAAGCTCCCTCTTCACACAATCAGATGGATACGGTGACGTGATACTGTATTGATCGCAACAATGCTACCGCAAGTATCATGTATTACAGTGGAGCATTTTTGGCTTCCTTGAAGTACATGTAATAACGAGCAGCTTTGTTCTGGGGTGTGGTTGGCACTGGCTCAAGAGAGATTTCCACGGAAAGGTGGAGCGTATTATTTCGGTGGATTGAAATTCGCAGGCCCGCGCTGGGTAGCGGGCCACGGGGGAAATCCGCGGGACAGCAGTACGAGTTTTGATGGTAATTTTTCCAGGCTAGTAAATTGTTGGTTTAAATTTGAATAAATACTGGCCATCCATCCTGGTTTGGCGCCATGGCGCCAATGCGAGTCAATAAGTAGGAAACTGTTAGCCAGACCACCATGAATGCAATAGAAGAAGTCAAGGATAGACAACAAGCACCTCACCTGCAGTTGTGGACTTTGGCTTTGTCGATATAGCAAGCCAATACAGATAGTGCCGCTAGAGACCTGTTTTTTGTCACTCAATGTCATCTACTCCATCCATCCTTTCCGACTCTGTTGGGTCCTCCGTAGTAGCCTCAGAGTGGTCTTGAAAGCTCTGGAGGAAGGCTTGTTGCTCGGTTTGAGGCATTGCAGCAACCAAGGCTTTCGCTTTCGCTTTTGCAACCTCTTTATGCCGTCCATATTCGGTGTCATCTAAGCTGATGTTGGAAGCAATCTGTGAGATGAGATCTGTTAACTCTTGCTCCTTCTCCTCCGGCCAAGGTTCAAGTGCAGCGACCTCGGCACCTTTCAACTCAAGATAACGGGCCAATCGATCCTCTTTCTTCGATAGTTTCGATGGGCAAGGCTTGCCACTCTTCCAAGCTATCAAGTCTTTGAGATCATCACTTGTTAACTCGCTCTGTTGTTTCTCTGATTCAATAATGGCCATGGCCTTTTGTTGTCTCTTCCACGCCGCGACGTGCAGCTTCTTTTCTCTTTCCAGAGAGTCCACTCGTTGCTTCAATCTCTTCCTCTCATCGGCAATGAGGAAATCATCGTCATTCAAAGCAGCTCCGCCGGTGACCTTAAAGACTTGGCCTTGAGTTGCGGCTGCCTCCAAGGCATCTTGTCTCTCTCGTGAGCGTGGAACAGTGACCATTGCCGCTCTCTTTGTTGCTTGAAATGCCTGAGCGTTTGCTCGGAGCAGCTCTCCATTATACCCAAGAGCGTTGAGAAGATCACAACAAAGATCGTTCCTTTGGTTCAGCTCTTGGATGTAGGAGGCGTTGGGATCAATAGAGTCGTCTGCGTTGCCGTCGGAATCAACAATCAGCTCTGATCGAACTTTTGGATCATGGAGGGCTTTGCGAGAGAATGCTGGATAGATTCCAAGCTTGTCGTTCCAACAGTGAGTGACTCTTGTGGCAGAGAAAGCCTCTTCAATTGCATTTCGAAGCAATGGAAAGGTTGGATCACTCTGCCGACGGAGCATTGATCCACAGCACAACAGACCAATATCATTGCGTGTAATTGAATCGGTTGCTTCTGGTGTGTTCTGTCGGTATTCCCAGAGGATTTGCAGATTTTCGAAGAAGATAGACTTGAATAAACCAAACAACATGTCCATGACTTGTAGGATGTGAGTTGTGTTTGGAGGACCGGACGGAAAGAGATAGATGCCAAGCGACCGGAGCTCCATGAGCATCTCTTTGTTTGTCCGGCCAGGGCCACCATCAACAAGCAAAGTTGCTCGCTTGCCTGGTACATCTGCAGTGTCTTCCAATATCAATGGTATAAAGTTGCCTCTAGTCCATTTGCCAAACTGCTCCTTGTTCATGCCTCCTTTCGTATTGACGCCATAGCTATTGGAGCATCTCTTTGTTGCTCCGCCGTTGAGTAGATAGCAAGCTTCAGTTTCCAGCATGTCGATAACAAACTCAGCGGGTATCACCATGTCTTCTTCCTTTTGCGCATCGGATGGAATTTGAAAATGCTCCGGAAGTTTCTCTCCAGAGGCAAATGTACCTGCAAGAAGAGTGCAATGATAAGAGCTCTTATGTGCGGCATAGATGGCTTCTCCTTGGAGCCTTGGGTTGTAGAAGACAAGTGGTGGCCGACCTCCCTTCTGACTCTTCGTATCATCCAGTGTCAGCCCTGATTCATCGATATTGGCAATCCTCTTTCCCTGCGTCTCATCAACCCAAGCGAGCTCACCGGTCGTTGCTGCCATTGTTTCATTGTTTTCGTTTGCTGCTCCAATGCCAATGAAGTGTGCCTTGAGAGAATCGAACCAAAGATTGATGTTGCTGTGGGTACCCCAATTTGCTCTCCTTTTTTCGACTCGATTTGGCTTGCCACAGTCCAGCACATCTCCGATCTCCTTTTGAACTCTGTCAAGAAGCCATCGTCCCGTCCGTGTGCCAAGACCTTCCTTCTTGTTGACGCAGGCATTCAATAGTTTCGCCAGCTTTGGACGATCGATAGTTTCTGTAGCAGATATCTGGGAGATTGAGCTGAAGGTTTCCACTGCTCCACATAGTGCTTTGAAGCCATGAGGCTCGATTCTACCCTTTGGCCCCCGCCGCTTTGGACTCTTGCCAGCATCTCCACGTTCAACCATGTTGCGAATGGTCCGACCAACAAGTTTCACTCCGTGTGCTTCATTATATCTCTTGGCAATAGTCTCCGCAGACACTGGCTTGTACGTTGATCCTTGAGCCTTTTCCACTTCCACTCGAATCAGCTCCTCCTTCCATTCCAGAGTAGCAGCTTTGTAGTGTGCAGCGAGCGCCTCTCGATCTTCTTTCTGTTGTTTTCGAACTGCAGTGGCTTGGCGACCAGTCAATCGTTGGTTTCTTCCAAGCTTTGCCTTGAGAGATCTTTCGGCTACAGTCCTTTCACTTTGGGAGATAGTAGAAGGAGGTGGTGGTGCCTTTGTGGGAGCATCGTCATTGTCAGCCTTTGCGGCTTCCGACTCGGTCTTCAAACTGTTGGATTTTCGTCGGACTTTTTGTCGAAGGTTTGGGTTGCCTGCTTCAGGAGTATCGAATCCAGCAAGCTTCATGGCTACATTGACATTCATCTCCTTTGAACGCTTTGCCAACTTGAGAATACCGGCTGCCCGTGCTAGTTTCTTGCCTTGCGGCGTCTCTAAACGACGCTTCGATGCCATGGTTGATTTGCTTCCTATTTTCGATCTACAACAACAAAGTGTCGAAGAGTAAGCTTTCATTTCCACGATCTATATCTTTTATCACTAGCTATGAAGAAACGAAATGTTTGGTTGCCATGCTGGACGCTCCCATATTCTTCTTGTCGAAACCATATCACTCTTCTATGAGCGTGTCCATTGCAATCGATGTGAAATGGTTTTGGAGGAAATTGTGAGGGGAAGTTTTGTGGTGGTGGCTGGCGGTATGCCACGTCATGACATAGAAATAGAAAAAATGCTGTTTAAACCTGTACTTCCCTTGAGGCCTTCCGTACATCCATCTTGTCCAGCGAGAAATCTCCCCGAGTGAATACTGAGGCTTCAGCTCTTCCAACTAGACTACTGTACTTCTTGAAAACATTGGCACCTGAGCGATCCTCCCAGATCTGTTTCGAACAGTAGCTAGTAGCTAGCCAGCGCGACCTGGTGTTGTTCCTTGAAGAAGGCTGCAGCTCACTACCTTCCAGAATAGAGAATGGAGGTAGTCTAGACGAATAATAAGAGGTACAATTGCCAGCAAGCAGCTTTACCTGGGGAATGGCTGCTATAGCTACTGTTTGGGCAAAGACCTTGTGGATGCTGTTATAGTAATTCATTTCTTCTGGTCATCGTGAACAACTTGGCTTCAACCAAGTGAAGAGTCTATGGTCTATCGACTACTCTCAGTACCTCTATCATTGGAATCAACAGATGAAGAAGATAGATGACGATCGTGATGTATGTGGTGCTGACTGGTGCTAGCTAGTACAATAGAACCGAAAAGACGGTCGGCTTCTGCAAGCATCAAACATCTCTAGACCTAGACCTAACATATTGAATTCGAATTATCACGGAGGTACACACAATATTCAACAAGACTTTTACACCAGAAAAAGGAAGCTTCTCAGAAACAGACACAAACTGTTGTACAGAGAACTACTGTTAGTACTCCTCTTGGCAATCGATGAGGCCACTCGGCAATCGAATCATATGTCCTCCAAAATGACTTGCATTCGTCGAATACAGGTCCTCACGCGTTAGGGCAATCTGCTTTGACCATTGGGTGCTTTGATGACTGTAGAAGGAATCGAATCCAAACAATATCAAGCGGACACGTAGGCACGTAGGGAGGCTTTTCATCAATGCTTTTCATCGACTGAGGCTTCCTCATCTGTTCCTCATCATGGTGTACGCTCGGAGGCCAAGTGAACTTGGAGACTGGCCAGACTATTAGCCAGTACCGGCTTTGCCGTTCGCCGCTGGATTCATTTTCTATCATTCCACCAAGACCTCAAGTACAGGCCAGCGAGTCGCGAATATGGCCAGTGGAGCTGCCAGTGGTCAAATGAATGCTGCAAACTGCCTTTCCACTATTACGGTACCAGCTGCCAAGCATTGTGGAACCCAACTTGCACCCAACATCGTGTGTGTGAGAGTCGTCCATAAATTTGCTTCGCCTCTTCTGCAAACCGAATTTCACTCATCTCAAAAACTGATTCGTTTACCATGACACTTGCCAACAGAGAGCAGAATCCCCAGGAAGTCCCTTCGGCAGGCAACAATGACGACAATGTTTCCTGCACAGGCCATGACCATGATGAAGACCCCTACACGAGCGAATCCATTCGCCATATCATGACCAAGAAGGAGAATGACCGCATCAAGATGTTCAGGCTCATGGTACTTGGAATGCTGATCATGACAGCAGTGGTCACCATTGTGGCAAAGGTCTTTCTGGGCCAGCAGGAGAACAGAAACTTTGAGACAGCTGTAAGTTCCACCATTGCCTGCTCCACCAAGCAAATCTTCTTTGACTCACCAATGATGCCCTTCTACTGTCTGGAACATTCTGCAGTATGGCCAGTTTGCTAGGACTCTTGCAGATGCTGCCCTTGAACAGCAGCAGAGCCTCCGAGCTTCCTGTAGGAGCCTCGCCAATGAAATCACGGCCTATGCACAACAGACCAACCAGAGTTGGCCCTATGTGGATCTGCCTCTGTTTGAGAGCTATGCCAAGGGATTCTTTGACCACAGCAAGGCTGAGTTTATTGGTGTTCAGAACCTTGTGAAGCCAAATGAAACAGATGACTTTATCAATTGGACCACAGCTCACTACAAGGACTGGGCTAGTGAAGCCCACACCCTTCGTTATGGAAATACTGACCTCCTCAACACTGATCCAACCCGATACAATCAGTATATCTCTCAGAAAGGCCCTAACAAAACATATCCTCCCGACCAAGACCGTCCTTACTATGCTGTTCGTATCATGCAATCTCCTCCCATGCGTGCCTACGGTCCTACCTTGAATCTGAACATAGCCACGATTCCTGGTATCCAAGCTATTCATAATGCCCTCCTGGAACTCAAGTATGAGACACTTGTTACACGCATCAAGCCATTCAATGCAGTCCCCGCAGAAGAACACCAAAACTTCCATACCGACTCTGAGGCCGACAACCCTCATTCTTTCATGTTCACTCCAATTTGGCGTGAAGTTCAAAATCCAAACAGTGGCATTGTTGGAACACTTTCTTCCAGTGTTGCATGGGATGCCAGTATGCAAGATTTGCTGCCTGAGACTGTAACGGGTATCTTGTGTGTTGTCCGCAATGACTGTGGGCAAGAGTTCACCTACACGGTGTCTGGAAAAGAAGCCTTCTACCTTGGTCCAGAAGATCGTCATGATCCCAAGTTTGACGCCTTGGCGGTCCCTGTTGAGCTTGGCTGGCATACACACCCAAACTTCACCACAACACCAGGTCATTGTCAATACACCATGGTGAGTCTTTTCTTTTCTTTTTTGGAGGCTCAAGCTCCGGTGTTCTGCTCTGTGGCAGTAATTGGCTTACACTTTTCCTCTTGTGTGTGTTTTCGCATAGATTATCTACCCAACTGATGAGTTCAAAGATGGCTACACCACTGCCCTGCCAGCTACTTTTGCGATTGTTGTTGCTTGCACATTTTCGTTGGTGGCCATTGTATTCTTCATTTATGACTACTTTGTTCAACGACGAAATCTGGAGCTGGCTCAAGATGTGGCGCGATCGGACAAGCTCGTGTCATCTCTCTTCCCTGGTGAAATCAAAGATAAGCTCTTGGCACAGCAGGATGTGGGAGACATCAAGGGAAGGAAGGGGGCAGTCCCTGGACTCCCTGGCAGCGGCGGCCTCATGAACCAGCCAGACCTAACTTCCACGCAACTTGCCAAGGCTTATCCACACACAACGGTGTTCTTTGGAGATCTTGCAGGTTTTACTGCATGGTAAGTTGCTGTTGCCAACTCATCTCAATCATGGCACCTTGATTGTCCCGCATCTCATATTGATGTCCTTCTATTTGATATCAGGTCCAGCACTCGAAAGCCCGACCAAGTCTTTGAGCTCCTTGAAACTCTTTACAGTGCCTTTGATGCCATTTCAAAGAAAAGGCGTATTTTCAAGATTGAAACAATTGGTGACTGCTACGTAAGTTGTTGGTCCAGGATCCCAAGACATCACTCACACAAATCATCCGTCTCATCAATTCCTTTCTTTCTCCTTCCACTGGTACAGGTTGCTGTCTGCGGGTTGCCGAATCCCCAAACAGACCATGCCTCCAGAATGGTCCGTTTTGCAGACGAATGCATGTCCCAGATGAACATTCTGACCACAGAGCTCTCTGTAACTTTGGGTGCTGATACAAGCAATCTTCAACTGAGGGTTGGCTTGCACTCTGGGAGTGTCACTGGTGGCGTATTGCGTGGTGACAAGAGTCGCTTCCAGTTGTATGGTGATACTGTTAATACGGCTGCTCGCATGGAAACTAACGGAGTCCCAGGAAGAATCCATGTATCTCAAGTCACTGCTGATGAGATCCTATCTCTGGGCAAGAAGAACTGGTTGACCCCTCGGGAGGACAAGATTGTGGCCAAAGGAAAAGGTGAAATGGACACATACTTTGTTGCAATTCTGGCAAATCCGGCATCGTCAACAGTCTTTTCACAGACTGACACAGAGTCCCTTGATGATACCGACGTCAACCCTTTGGATGTCAGTGCATTGTCCGTCTAAGCTGGCGGGCATCAATGGGAGGGGTAGCATGCGTAGATTCACATAAAATATTAGCCAAACCAAGACGGGGGAGAAGGCGGACACATGCTGACGGCGGCTGAATTTTTTTGTGGGTTGATATGTATCCATACAGGTAGCCAGCCCGCTAACGTGCTGACTCTGAGATCCTTTCCGCTTGAATCTATCAGCCAATCTGCTTAGGCCCAAACTAGCAAGCAAATGTTTCACCCATTGATCGCATGCTACAACAACGACGCACCAAAGTCATCAATGGATGTGCCTCATCTAAAACTAGCAAAGACAAGGAGGGAGATGCAATCGTCGTTTCATGAGGAACCCTATCCGTGCTTTTTCCCGTGAGCTCCACCATCTCAGTGTGTCAAAGTCTGAAATGGATTTCAGTCAATCTGGCAATGACCGGTAGGATTACAGGGTTGAATGCATGAGAACACCGGGCTATAGATAACCAAGACATGATATCCTGATGTGGTCTCCAAAAGCTTCTCCGCCATAGCTCCACCATTGAAGTTGTCGGCTTCGCAGCTGCTTGCTGGTTGAATCATCCTTTTTATCATCATATTTATCGTGACGGTGCCGAAACACCCACCACACCCAGCCAAGACCAAAGCATGGATCTTTCGAAAGCAGAATGCATCTTGTTTGGCCGTTTGGCCATTGTATTTTCTAGCTAGTAACTGTTAGTCAAGAGCTCTCCGGAAAAATGTGTGACCGGTGGTAGACAAAAAAATGTCGTGTTCAAAGAAAGTATAGAAGTATAGAACCAAGTAGTAACTGTGTTAAATCTCTATGATTGGGCAACTCGTCAGCTCTCTATCTCATCTAGGCTTCTCATCCAAAAGTCATTCAAGAAGCATGTGAATGCCATTGCCATTCTTCGCCTTCGATTCTTCTTTGGAAACCTTCCATGAAGTTCCTTTGAACACTATGGAAGCCATTGCACAACAGTGCAGCTGTAACACGGTATTCAACCATTTTGCACCTTCTGGAGTCGAGTAGTCGAGTCGAGTTTGGCTCTACCCACCGGCCCACCGGTACAAGTAAGCATCGGTTCCGTGCCGTACATACATGTACCCCACACTCATCAGTGATTGAATCTTCAATCGAATCATCAGGTCTGTCTCAAAGTTCCAAGAGAAGATAGATTAAATCTCTAGCTATTCTAGAAAGCTCCAATGCCAACCAACTGTTACTTTCCATTCAGCTTCTGTCCGAGTATCCGAGTTAGTGACTGCGAGGTTACCTTTTAATTCCGAACTTTACTGCTACCGGTACGGTACCGGTACCCTGAATAATACTCAGTACTCTGAGTACTAGAGTAGCTCTGGAGTAGAGAGCACCTCGTTATTAAGGGTATATCTCAGAGAGTTTCCACTCAGTTTCTGGATCGAATGACTTTGAGAGCAGCTTTTAATAAATCCGAACCTCACTTTTAAAACCACTGACTCACGCAGTGACACGCAGAGGCAAGATCATCGGCCTTGAAGCCACGAAGCCACCAAGAAGTTCACCCGGAATTCAACAGGACGCCCCGCCACACGCAAGCTCCTTAGAAACATCAGGTACCCAGAAGAGGTGAGTAAGTCTCAAGTAAGTCTCCAGGCAACAGCAGAATCTCACTAGTCTTTTTTTTTTAAAGCAAGATAGATGGCAACTGAGTAGTGGCCAGAATAGCGATCGAGCCACTCCAAGAGTAGATAGCGTTCGCTTCTCTCCTGACCTGGTACCGGTATGAGGGCGTAGTACCGGTAGGGAGCTTATCCACGGAAACAAGCGAGTGTCAGGCTAAGGCAAAGAGGAGTCGAGTCGAAATTCAGGGTGACCTTCCCTTGCCAGTTCCGCTTGTTTCAGCTCATACTCTCACACCCTCCCCGAATCGAATCAATTAACTCTCTCTCGCCGCCGTTCCCTGCTCGTCTGACCCAACACAAAACAAATCACGATGACCTTGGACCACAATGATCTCGAGGAGCAGAAACCGGAGGAGGTTTCAAAGGAGGAAAGCTATGACGATGAGGGTTCCTCCGCAGGGACTAACGACAATAGGGGAGAATCTTTCACCACCATGACCAAGAAGGAGAAACACCGCATCAAGATGTTCAGGCTTATGGTACTTGGCATGTTGATCATGACAGCAGTGGTCACCATTGTGGCTAAGGTCTTGCTTGGCCAACAGGAGAACAGAAACTTTGAGACAGCTGTGAGTTCCACTTTTGATTTGCACTGACCAGCAAAGCTTCTTTTCAACTCACCCACACTGCCACACTGCCTCCCACTTGTCTTCATATGTCCTACAGTATGGCCAGTTTGCACGCAGTCTTGCAGATGCTGCCATGGAACAGCAGCAGAGCCTCCGTGCTGCCTGCAAGAGCCTGGCCAATGAAATCACTGCCTATTCACAACAGTCCAACCAAAGCTGGCCCTATGTGGATCTACCTTTGTTTGAGAGCTATGCCAAGGGTTTCTTTGAGCACAGCAAGGCTGAGTTTATTGGGGTTCAGAACCTTGTCATGCAGGATGAACGAGATGACTTTGTCAATTGGACCACAGCCCGCTACCAGGACTGGGTTGAGGAAGCCCATTTGCTTCGCTATGGAAACACTGACCTCCTCAACACAGATCCAGCCCGATACAATCCTTTCATATCTCGAAAGGGCCCCAACAGGACTTTTCCACCTGACGAGGAACGCCCTTACTATGCTGTTCGTATCATGCAGTCTCCTCCCATGCGTGCCTACGGTCCTACCTTGAATCTGAACCTCGCCACTATCCCTGGTAACCAAGAAATTCATGATGCCCTCCTTGAACTCAAGTACGAGACGCTGGTGTCACGCATCAGGCCATTTGGTGCTGTCCCCGCAGAAGAACACAAAAACTTCCATACTGACTCTGAAGCGGACAACCCCCATTCTTTCATGTACACACCCATTTGGCGTGAGGTCCACAATCCAGACAGTGGCATTGTTGGAACACTTTCTTCCAGTGTTGCATGGGATGCAAGTATGCAAGACTTGCTGCCGGAGACGGTCACAGGCATCTTGAGTGTTGTCCGCAATGACTGTGGGCAAGTGTTCACCTACAAGGTCTCTGGAAAAGAAGCCTACTACCTTGGTCCAGAAGATCATCATGATCCAAAGTTTGATGACTTGGCGATTATTGTGGAACTCGGCTGGCATACACATCCAGACTTCACCACAACACCAGGCCATTGCCAGTATACCATGGTGAGACTCTTCTTGTTTGCAGTCGAATTCTCGGAGGTGTGGTGTGAATTTGGTTTCCTCCGTTTCATGTTTGCTTAACCTCTGTCTTTCTTCTGTGATAGTTTGTGTATCCAACTGATGAGTTCAAAGATGGCTACACCACCGCCCTTCCTGTTATGTTTGCGGTTGTTGTGGCATGTACCTTTTCGTTCGTCGCCATTGTCTTCTTCATTTATGACTGCTTTGTTCAACGCCGAAATCTGGAGCTGGCTCAAGATGCTGCTCGATCGGACATGCTTGTGTCATCTCTCTTCCCCAGCGAAATCAAAGACAAGCTTTTGGCGCAGCAAGACGTAGGAGATGGGAAAGGAAATGGGCATCACAAGGGAGGGATTCCTGACCCCTGTGACAGTGGAATTGGCAATCGTAATGAAGGTGGTTTTGCACATTTGGCCAAGGCTTATCCACACACAACAGTATTCTTTGGAGACCTAGTGGGTTTCACTTCGTGGTAAGTTCGTTGTTGACCTATTTGGTCTTTGTGCTCTGTCGTTCACGGCTCATTTCCTCCTCCTCTTCCAACATTAGGTCCAGCACTCACAATCCAGAGCAAGTCTTTGAGCTCCTTGAGACCCTCTATAGCGCCTTTGATGCTCTGGCAAAGAGAAGGCATATATTCAAAATTGAAACAATTGGAGATTGCTATGTAAGTCGGCTACTGTCAGGTGACAATGCCATGCATGATGCAATCATGGGAACTGATTGTTTTCGCTTTTTGGTCCCTCTCTCCGGCTTTGGTTCAACAGGTTGCTGTCTGCGGTATGCCATATCCTCAAACAGACCATGCATCCAGAATGGTCCGCTTTGCCCATGATTGCATGTCCAAGATGCATATCTTGACGACAGAACTTTCAGAAACCTTGGGCAATGAAACTGCTGACCTCCAACTCAGGGTTGGTTTGCATAGTGGAAGTGTGATAGGTGGGGTACTGCGAGGAGACAAGAGCCGCTTCCAGTTGTACGGCGATACTGTTAATACAGCGTCTCGCATGGAAAGCACAGGAGTTGCTGGATGTGTCCATGTTTCTCAAGTCACTGCTGATGCGCTAAGGGTGTTGGGTAAGACGAATTGGTTGACACATCGGAATGACAAGATTGTGGCAAAGGGGAAAGGAGAGATGGACACATATTTTGTTTCAATCCCTACCGCCTCCACAGTCTTGTCGTCGACTGGAACGGAATCTCTTGATGGTACTGATGAAGTCCATACGGTGGACGTCCGTGCCATGGATGCCAGCACCTTGTCAGTGTAGAGAAGCTCAACCTGGGTGGGGCTTAGCCATCAGGCATTTGCGCTATTAATAGTAGGGGAGTATACATATGTATTGATGAATATCCAAACCGAGCAACGAAAAGCTGATGCAGCCACACAGAAAACAAGAGCTCGCCATTTATGGGATGCTCCCTTCACCAGCACGACTCTTCCACTAAAGACTCACACCGAAAGTGGTCTTTGAATTCCTCCGGGCTGTCCGTCGTGGGGGGGCTACATAATAGTTACGTTTTATTTAAACCACTGCTGGACATTATCCCATTTGCTAGGTTCCAGGAAGATACATGCAGTTCGTTGTTTTCGTTAGTTTGGTTTTCCTCCTAAAGTCGTCCTCTATTTCTGTTGTTTCTGCGCTCTTTGGAGTCATGTTTTGTTGCTTTTGTTACACTGACGCACGGTAGATTCATCTTGCGTTTTCTCTGTTGTTGCTTTTGTAAGGTGTTGGAGATATTTCGGTTGATTTCTTGGCTGACAACCTTACAAGTGGGCGACGGCAAGAGCCAGCCACACAAGGACAGAACCCACAGAACCACAAGAAAATGCATCAGAAGACTCGCCCATCAACATTTCTTCTCCTAGTTCCTCTGGCACCAAAGCTTCTCCTTCCTGGAAAGTTTCCTTCTCCAGAGGTACACTCTCTGCGGCTTTGGCAATGAACGGCGGGCAAGGAATCTCAAACTTTTCCACATTGGAGACACGGGTCACGCGTTCAAAGAAGGTGCTGGTACTGTTGACCAGCAGCTCCAAATAGGTTTGCTTTCCGTCCTCAGTGTTGAAGGCTTGTTCGATGATGTAGGTGCCATTGATGTCGGCGCTCGTTGCATTGGCATCGGTAGCGTTGGCGCTTACACCAGTGGCGCTCCGCCAAGAAAGGAACTGCAGGAAATGCACTGCCACCGAGTTCGTCGTGGGGTCCCCTGTTATGACGGGGTAGACTTGTGGGATGGCCAAGACATCACGGACACCAAGTTCAGGGTGGTGTTCAAAATAGGTTTGGAGGTGCTCTGTGGTGGCGGCATCCCAGGCAGTGGTGGTAGAGTCGGGATGATCAGAATGATCCCCCCAAGACAACGCCAACGCACCAGAGAACCTCATGGACAAGTGATAGACGCTTTCAGATTGAGAGGGCGGTGGGATGGGAAAGTCGGGAACAGGGCATGTATCTGGTAAGGCGCTGTATCCATAGTAGGCATCCTCACTGTACGCAAACACATGGTTAGCCAGACACAATACATTCAAACAAAAGCCCTCCACAACGCAAGGGAAAAAGCGAGTTTCGTAGACACAAGCAGGGCCCGCTGTCAAGGTGCATTCACTACCGTCCTGACTCGGAGAAAGAGCACAGCAATCACTGAAGTCGTGCTCGTGCACGAGATCCGCGCAGGATTGTGGGAAAGTCCTCACGCAGACGTCGTCCTCGCAGGGGCCGAAAATATTAATGGAGGCTTCCGCAGTACCGATGAGTTGGGGGATGAGGATAAGACTGACAAGAGCGCCGAGAGCAGCACGAAGAGGGCGATGGTTCTTGCTGAGGATAGTCATTTTCTTGCGGTTTGCTTTGTGTTTTTGGAGCGAAAGATGTGAGGTAAAATAATGAGAGAAATTGGCTGGCTTTTCTGGTACCGTACCACCGGTACGGTACTTTTTCATCCAAAGACAAAAAGTGAAACACCGAGGGCCAGCCTGGTACTCATTCCCTGTAGGAAGTCATTGATACGAAACAGAAAACAGGGTGACGTGGATGTCAGTGGAAAGTCCCTGAAACATGGATATTGATGAGACTTGCTTTTGGCCAGTCTTGGAATTCATAGCCTCATCGATAGGGTCGATCCAGAAGAAACCTTTTCCCACCAAGCGCGAGCTCTTGTCTGTAGCTAGCTAGTAGCTATCATAGATATCAGTTGGGATTGGGGGATCGAGTCGAGTCGTTGCCTGGAGAGAGAAAGTCAGTTGGGGCTAGCAGTGAATGAAAGAGAGCCTAAGTGATTTGCAATGAGCAAGTGAGACATGGATACTACATAGATTCGATTCTCTTGCTTCTCTACTTGGTCCATGCAGCTTCAAGTGAATCCAGAAAAGTCGGCGATACTCCCTGACAAGCAACGGCCCGCAGATGCAATGGAAGCAGTGATGTCAGCTTCTAGTAGATGCCCCTGTCGTCAATTCTGAGCGTTGCGGCCTCTTTGGGGGTCATCGCGGCTCGAACCGTCAAAAACGTGGCCTCATTGCCAAGTTCGTGGCTGTGAGATGCCCCGTTGCAAACGGAACAGCAGTAACTGAAGCTACCAAGGGATGACGTCTATCTGGAGAGTCGGTGTTGTTCTCACCGTTCCTACGCGTGTACCCGCCAACAATGCGGCAAGGTTAGGCAACTCGAGCAACATGAATGACCTTGCATTTTTGATGGAATGTCAAGTACAGAAAGTGCGGGGCTTCACTCCAAGCGCGAGCGGAAAGAACTTGTAGCAGCTTGCAAGCTTCTAGTACGATAGCCATGAGTGGTTTGCTGCAGACGAAGAATCACTAATATACCTTTAAATTATTGACCTAACCAAAAGTGAAAATCATCGATACCGTCAACTGTTTCTTCGAACATGTAGCATATGAAAGGAGTGCACATCCATCAACTACAAATGGCGTAGATAACTTCCTTACTGGAACCACCAACTACTGTACGGCTGGCGAGCTTGTGGTGGACATTGGCTGATTAGGGGCAGGCAATATCGCAGCACCCACCTCGTGCCTCCGACACTATTGGAAAATACAAGATCCAATCTGGTGAGCCAACTTGCATTCTCGTCATCTTCATCTCAAGGCAAAACTAAAACGTACCGTAGTTGATGCACATCCGGGTGCACTGGGAGCGGCCTTGTTCTTCCGTCAGCAATGAAAAAATGGGGGAGCAGAAGTTCACACGAACAGAAGGATTCAGATGAGGCTTTCTGTGGGAACAGATTCCCTCCAGATGCCGACCCATGGGACACAGGTGCTGGTCCAACGGTTCAAAGTCGTCACACAACATTTTCCAATCCAAGGGACTAGAGACGTTGTTGTGCTCGTTGCGGCCCAATCGGTTGTAGGCGACGAGAAAGTCACAGAGCGCCACTGGATGAAGGAGATCCTCGCCGTCAATAGTCACCGTAGCAGGAAGACTTTTGTCTTGCGGGCACTCCGACAACTTGCGTTCCGCGCTGGGGATTGCAACAGAAGACGACGCCAAACTGGTGCCCCGGACAGACCCGTCATTCATGCCGACTACGACAGTGGTAATGCCAAGAAGGGCGCAGATGAGTTTGGGGAGAGACTTGATGGCAAACATGGTTGCAAGGGTAGGATGGGAAATTGTGGTTTGAGAGGATCGAGGTTCAGACTGTTTTGGCGGCTTTCGCTTTCGAGTTGTGAGATGAATGACGATAAGCGTCCACAGTGTGTCTCATTATGTTGCTTTCCTTGTGACAACGGAGTATATTGCAGAAAGGTGCCGATCAATGCTGCGCAACTTCTTGTTTGAATTGGCACCTCGGCAGAGAAAGATGACCAGGCTGTGCGAACTTTCCAGGTGCATTTGCAGTCAGTCTTTTGGTCTATTACCCGCACCTCTGCTTCCGGCCACAACATGTCACAGTCGAGCGACAGTGTCTCATTCGTCCGCTTCCTTCTTCGGTCCGAAGCTTGAAAGAGAATTGTACATGTATGACCATAGTTTCATCGAGCGGGCGAACAATCCTAGGCTAAGTCTCTTCCACCTGTACGGTACCGGTATACCAGGTGTAGCTGTACCGTGCTTGTCAAGCGAGGGAAGTTTCGGACAGCAGGAATGTAGCTTAGCGGGTGCTGGGAGGGTAGCGGGAAGGACCGGTTCCACATTTGCTCTTGCGACAACATTCATTCTGAAGGAGCGCGGGAGTCGCCACAAGGATTATCCGTCTTCCCAAGAGATTTTCCTGGTGGATATCTGGGAAGCATGTCCTGTAGCGGCAGATCCTTCTCTCGCAACTCCGAATGAACAGAACACCACTCGACCCGAACGACGAACGAGCATCGTTCCGTTTTACGTGGACGTATCGGCACCCCTTCGATAGACTCTATTCTCTCACAATCTCGATATACAGAGTTCTGAAAACAACCCTTTAGCATTTCTTGTCCCTACTGTTGCAACATTGACCATGCTCTTTCGAACATCTCTGCCCGTCATTGTTCTCGTGGTCCTCGCCCTCGTCCCTGCAACTTCCGCCAATGGCATTATCGCTCGCGGAAGCAAGCATTTTCGGCTTGTTGGAAGCAAGCAAGCAATGCGTCGCCTTGGAATGATGGATGGCAGCATGACGAGCAGCGGTTCGACATCGATGATGGGAGGTGGCATGATGGGTAGCGATTCGTCGTCGAGTGGAATGATGGGAAGCAGCATGATGAGCAGCGGTTCGTCATCGATGATGGGAAGCAGCATGATGAGCAGCGCTTCGCCGTCGAGTGGAATGATGGGGGCCAGCACGATGCTCAGCAGCTCGTCACGTCGTCTTGGAATGATGGGTAACAACATGATGATGACCACGACGGACAGTTCATCGAGGGAAGGTGGAGCCGAAAGCGAAGAAGAAAGCAATGAGGAATGCCCTAAAACCAACAAACCGACCCTGGAACCTGATACAATCTGCAACGTTCTACAAGTCTTTGACAATATGGGACGAGGAGAGAACCGAGATGGGGCTTTGAATTGGCCCAGGCTCTGCGATGATTTCGAGTCGGTGGATCCTTACCTCTGTCCATCAGGCAGTGAAATTGATGCAATCTGCTCTCACATCAACCCACAGTTAAATCAAGCAACCAAGATACACTATTGCTCGCCGCTCTTTGACGATTTGCCTGATGGTGCTGGAAAGGATAAGTGTGTTCGCATTTGCATCAACTACGTGTCCAAGAATCGGGGCAACTGCTGCGGCTTTGATTGCGGGCCACCTTAATAAAAGCGAGGAAGTCTTCAGACTTCTATCAACTTGTTGAAGGCCTAGCTATTTCAATGGCTTTATTGAACGGACATGCAGTACTATCTTGATCAGGAAACGACGCTAGAAGCGCATGATAACTTTATTTAGAGCTCTCATTCTTTGCTACATGCACCGTATCGGCTTGACGCTTTGCTGAATTTCACTCCAAAACATTGCTACTCCTTGATGTGTGCAGCGTCCTGATCAGCATCCCCATCCTCCAGTACACCGTTGAATCTACGAAGGAGCTACGAATGATTGAATCAGTCAATCCTTTCGTCGGCAATGCAGGCCAAAGTTGACAAAAGAGCCAGAGTCTGGCTCCAAACAATCTTGCTTCAACTTGGTGGCATTTGGCGGACCCATCTATTGTCCTCAGTGGAATGAAAGATATTTTATTCAACTCTGATGGCTTAACTCTGAGATGGGCTTTGGGCAAGGGAAGTCCTATCGCTACAGTACAACCACAATCATCCAACGACGACGCCATGAACACCACCCCTTCTCTCCCCAGTTTCCTGTTTCTTTTGGCTGATGACATTGGCTGGGCCGACTTCAGCTACAACAATGGCACTGCATTAACGCCAAACATAGATGCCTGGGCGAAGGAAAAGAGTTCCCTGTTGATGCAGGATTTTCACAGTGGAGGAACAGTGTGCAGTCCCACTAGAGCAACTGTCTTGACAGGCCGTCACCACTTTCGTGATTGTGTTGACTTTGTTTATGGCTGCAGTGACATGTCACTATGTGTGCCAAATTTTGAGTTTGCCCCTTCTCACACATTCACAGTTGGAGATGCTGTCCGAATGGCTCATCCAGAGGAGTACGGTGACTATGGGGGTGTCTATTTTGCAGGCAAGTGGCACCTTGGCAGCTTCTTCAATGACTCTGAAGCCTATGGGGGCAAGTGCAGTTCTCCTCTCAATCATGGGTTCAGCAAGATGAATGCCACTGTTGAAGTGGCTCCAACAGCAACTGCCAACTGCCAGTGCAAACCAGAATGGCAGAAGGATTGTCAATTTGGCCACTACCATGAACAAAAATACTGCTATTCAAGTGAAAAGTTCAATGGAAAATGTTGCTACAACTACTGGTGGGATGACCCATTGTCGGCCCATGGTGTGGCCAACCTTACTTGGCCTACTCCAGCAGATGATTCTCTCTACCTGGCCGATGCATTCTCCCGATACATTGCAGAGAGAGCTCAACAGCAGAAGCCATTCTTGGCTCAAATCAGCTTTCACAACTGCCACATACCATTTATTGCAGTCAAAGCAGCCAAAGAATCTTGCGCTAGAGGAGAAACCTGCCGCCCACCAGATCCGGGATCTCCTCCCTACACAGACAAAGAACTCGATTACTATGGCTGTCTTACTGAGCTTGACAATGCAGTTGGCAAGGTTCTGCAGGCACTCAAAAAACATGGATACTATGACAATACTATGATCTGGTTTGCATCCGATAATGGCCCTGAGAGGGTCTGCCCACCCGATGGGATTTGCAAAAAAGCATCCACTGACCCACAGAGGCCGGCTGAAGGGCCTGGATCGGCAGGACCCTTGCGGGGCAGGAAACGTGACATCTATGAAGGGGGCCATCGGGTTGCAGGCATAGTCTCCTTTCCACCTCTCGTTCAAGGCCAGGGAGGCAAAGAAACTTGGGAAACTGTGGTGACCTTTGATTTTCTTCCCACCATCATGGAGTTGCTATATCAAAATCGCCCTCCATCTCAGCAATCCTGGGCCATGGATGGTCGCAGCATTGTTCCGTTGTTGAAGAACCCTGGTACTTTTCAATGGAATAATACAAAGGAAGGTCCCCGTAGCTTCGGCATTGGCTTTTTTGATCCAAAGCTAGTAAAGTCGAATGGCTGGGGCTACCGGTGGGGGAAATGGAAATATGTGCAAGGCAGTGCCAGCTGCAAAAGGGAGGACTGTCAAAAACCACAGTTGTTTGATTTGGAATCAGACCTGGGAGAACGACATAATTTGGCAGAGGTGAAGCCCACAGTATTGAGTCATCTACAAGAGGAGTTTCGGAAATGGCATGCTTCTATCATGAAGTCTCGACGGGAAGAATCCAAATGTCAAAAAACTGATTTGCTGCCGTTACCAGCCTTTATGTCAGAACAATCATCAGAGGTTCCAGAAAAATCTTAGGAAACAGTAGAACCAAAGAGCACTCGAGCCAGTGTTGACGCCTTCATGTAGCGCATTGTTTTGGTGTGGGCTTCCTTTCGACTTCTGTTGTCAGTCTCTCGTTGGCACCGGCTCCGAGTCGAGTCAACAGCAGCGGGAAGCGGCGACGACTAGGGCGGTTTTCCCTCATTTGAAAGCAACTGCTCGGTACCGTACCGGCACGCCTTGCCTTAGAAATTTCAAAACAAGGCCATCCGATACGGTTCCATAACCGTACGCAGAGAAAGGAGACACCTGCTGTCTTTGGTTCGTGGGCCTACCGTACTAAAACTATCACACTGGCATGGCAAGCAACGTTGGAAACGTGAACAAGCCTACCGTACCATACCGGTACCTCAATGCCACCGCTTCGGTCGTCGGCGCCAACTCGTTGTACTCTAGAGGCAGTAACGGTTGCAGGTGGATACTGCTCTATATCCCCACGAAGACAACTGATCTCATAGAGTAGTTAGTAGTGTACATTTTGAAATTTCCCTGATCGAAAAACTCGTGCTGGCATGCATGCCCCATTCATTGGATTGATTCATTCGATTCATTCTAGCTCTGACTGACCTGACCGATTGATTGTCGGCGGATGGATTGTCGTTTGTTGTTGTTGGGTGTGAATTGAAAATAAAAAATGGATGCATGGCATTGCATTGCGTACGGTACTTTCTCTACGCCTTTTGTCGCTTATTGCCTCCACCGCCACCTCCACTGGCCTTTTTCTTGACCTTTCCACCATCTGCCTTGATGGCATTTTTGACAAACGTTTGCAAGTCACTAAACAAGGGCGCCGGGATCTTGTCAATGTTGAGATCAATTTCATCTTCGGCACTGTTCTTGTTGAGAGACGAGGGTGCCTTTTTCTCCAATTCGACTAGTATTTTTCCCAAGTCTTCCTTGGAAATCTTGTAGAGGCTCTTGGCAAATGCCCGCTTGTCATCGTTACTGACGCGCTTGTCGACGCCTGACGACAGCGCAACCGGAGTGTCGTCCTTGATGCGCAAATCGTCCATCAATTTTTTGTACTTTTCATTCCATTTCTTGTTGAGTGTTTGTGCCAAGATGTAAAAGTCGCTTCCGTCCTGATTGTACGTCATGCAGTTGAACCAGACCAACTTGACATCTTCATTGGCGTCCATCAACGTCTTGTACTTGCGATCCACAATATTCTTCTTGATGGTGCCCAAGTCCATGGGCTTTTTGACCACTTTGGGATAGTCGTAGAGGCCTATTTATATATATATATATATGATATACACGGTAGAGCAGCAACACGAGGACGAATAAATGAGACGGCGAAAAAGGTTCGCATGTCCATCAAAAAAGGCAATGCAACGACTTTACTTACCCATGTTTTGCCAATCAACTGGCTCTCGAAAGGGCTCTACCGTATGGTTGGCCAAGAACAAATCGAATCGAATCGAATCAACGATCCATGCACAGAAGGAAAATCACGGTGAGATACAATTAGAAGTAGTAGCGCTGGAATCGAATCTCTCGCTTGCGGCCCTCCGATCGGTCGAAGCAACCAACAAAACAAAAAAGACGAACCTGCATCGGGCTTTTGGAAAAAGGACTGAACCAACTTGGTCATGGCAGACCACATCTCGGGGGTCGGTGAGCTTGCCATGGTGAGTGATGGATGAAATGGTGGCGTCGTTGCGAATGGTTGGCTCCCCTTTTATTGTTGCTTGCGGCGGTTGTTGGTTATTGGACTGCCATGCGGCCATGGTCAGGGTACGCTACGGGATTTCAGTACCATCCTGAGGATCGCTCAGCTGACCCAACAAATGACACACCTTTTTTTGGCGGGCAATTAGGGTTAACGTGACACACCTTGGAAAGGCAAACGGAAGCCTTTGAAACCCCCACGAGTATGTGGGTGGCATACCCCCTTGTTAATACTTACCGTACCGGTAGGTGGATTATCTACCGAAGGCCAGGCATGTTGTTTGTGACCAAGTACCTGGTATGTAAGGTCAAGAAGAAAGTCCTCGTCCAGGGTTGGTCACCGTAACATGCACTCCGCAACCAGCAGCAAACGAGGCGACGCCCTGTTCTTGGTGTTAACCACCAGACGAATTAACATGGTGCAGCAAGACTACTTCCATGCTCCCACACGGACTGCTTCCAATTCAAGCTCTGAGCTCACAATACTGAAAAAGATTTACTTTACAAAGAAACCATGACAACATCCTATTTGTACGACTATGTTCTCAGTCCGTTCTATGATTGGCTGGCTGCATTGATCTGGCCCGATTGGGTTCATCCCAATGCCATAACCCTTATTGGGGGCATGTTTGCTGTTGCTGCTTCCTACTTTATCCAAAATAATAGTGGACAGTCTGGCTGGGCTTGCCTGTTGTTTACAATGTACCACATGTGTGATAACATGGATGGCAAACATGCCCGTCGAACTGGCCAAACAAGCAAATTTGGAGGGGTTCTCGACCATTTCGTGGACGGAACCATGGGCAACATTGCAGGGTTCAGCAGCTTGGCTCTCTTTGGTTTCGGTGTTACACCAGATGATACTGTTTTCTGGCAGGCCATACATGGCTACTACTGTCTCTGGTTGGCACCTCATGTGGTTGCACACTTCAGTGGAACCTTGGCCCTAGGCACAAAGTATATCTCCATTGATGAAGGCTTTATCACAACTTCGCTTGTACTATTTTATGCTTGGGTCAGTGAAGGGGACATTGTGTTGCTGAAGGGCAAGTGGTATGCCGAGCAAATTGCATTGGTTTTTCAGGTGTTGTCCATTTGCTATGGGACCCTACTGTCGGCTTACCACTGGCTTAAGCCCAGGCAGCCAACAGAAAAGCAGCAATCAGAAAAGAATAATTCTGTGTGGAAGCATCTTTCATTGATGATTTTCATGCACTTCTGGTTGCATGGGATTCTTTATCCTTACTCTGACTTTTTCCATTTCTACTTGACTTGGGTACCAGTGATGGGCAGTGTTCTTTTTACCGCGAGGGACTAAAATTTGATGAATATCCCCCCACTGACTGTTTGGCATAATATATATCATCACTGTAAACTCCAAGACAGCCATTGTTGCAGGAGCACAGCAGCAGGATGAGCTGTTTGCGCTAATGGTTGCCCATGGGATGCTAAGTCTTGTGCATTAGCTGCTTTATGTTAAAATTGGGAAGTTGTCCTCTGGATTTGGGATAGGCATGCTGTGCTGTGGGCAAAGTGGCTTCATCGTGAAGTGCTTCAATCGGCACGGGATAATAGCTGCCCAAATAGACTGTTGCACTTTAGCTACTTCTTTTTGCAGGTGTTTGATTTAGTAGCATGTTACCTTACTACCAGAATGGCCTATGCAATTTGACATGCTTCACTCCTATATCAGTATCCCACCTTTCAGCATCCAATAAAGAGTCTGCGCCAGACATTGCAATTCTTGGGGGTCCCAGCTTCACAACCACCCTCGAATGTTCTACCTTCAGCTCGGTACCACTTGAGATTGAATGGATTGACAGCATAGAAAATGGAATCAATGACACAAGGCATGGTAGCCTCCCAATGTGATCCTGAGACAGTTTTGACTCGAATGTTTGGATTCCTTGTGGTAATATCAGGTGGTATGTTGGAAAACGGAATGTTTTCATCTTCAATGGAATGACACAACTGAATAGGGTACTCAGCTCTATCCAGTTCCTCGAGGAGATCAAGATCTTGCAGAGCGAGACAGATTTTATCAGTTTGGTTGTTTACACTTGTCACACAAGGGTGACTCTCTCCGCGAGAGATTGCACCTTCCACCATGGCAATAAGGTGTTCGTTGTATATAGATAATGGATCATTGTAGGGGATAAGCTCATTGATTGGATCGCGATCGAGTCCCACTGTTTGAACTCTTGCCACAAACTCATCTCGCTGATCGCTGGCTAGGAAGTCTTGCCCAGTACCATAATTCAAGGCATCCGTTGTGGTGGAGGATAAACCTGCTGCAACCAATGTAATGAAAAAGGTGATTGCTGGGCGTCCACTGTTCACCGTTCGCACAAAATAGGTCAATGTTTCGGACGACAGCTGGTAGGGTGCCCCGCCCGCGGATACTGCCATGACATGTTTGCCCATGCGTTGCAGAACATCGGCAATAGCTATCACCGCATAGCCTCCCTGACTGTATCCAGCTAGACTGTAGGCATTTGCCATGGCCGAAGTGCAATCGGATTGCTCGGCCACAAGCTTTTCGGATTGCCAAATCAATGGCACGACGGATGTGATGACGGATTGTTTAATGAGAAATGCTCGATAATATTCAGAACTTTCGGCTCTTCCAATGTGATCCGGTAGCAGAGAGTAGGCCCTTGTAACGGACGTGACCAGGGCTCCCAACAAGGCAGGGTGCTCTCGGATGGGGATGCTGGTTTCACTGGGAGGCTCGACTGCCGTGGCGGGTACAATATTGACAGGGAGTGTCCTTGGAATGAGCCTGTCATTTACGGCATCGTACGGGGCCACCAACAATCCCGAGTGCATGGCATTATATCCATAGTCCTGAGGGCGACAAGCGATATCTTTGGGATACAAGGAATCATCCTCAAAATCCGAGCATCGGCCACAGACTTTCCACAGCTGAACATCATATTTGAGACGCCCCAATACCACGTTATCCAGCGTGAAAATCGCCGCTTCCGGAAGATTTGTTTGCTCCTGCATCAGTGCCATCACCATGGTTCGGATCTCATCGGCAGTCAGAGTCTGGATTACCGTATTGCACGGGACGTATTGAATTTGCAATTTGCGGTCGAGATCATTGTTGAATTTTTCCGGTCCAACCAAGAGCGTGCTCAGCACTGTTCCAAATGCCTCCTTGGCTAACTGCTCGGCTTCTTTTTCGTTTTCGTCCACTCGAAGGGTACCAACATGGCACTGGGCTGGTCGCACCAAAAGTATCAAAAGGCTGAGGGCCGCCAATGCTCTGATCATGGTCGTGGTCATTTTCTTTGAAGTCCCACCAAACGGAAATTGCTTCCAAACTACCGAGTACGAACCCACACACAATGAGAAAGCTGCGACATCCTTGCCTGCTCACAAATTCCTTGTTCTCATAGGGCGTGGTAGCGACGGCGTATCGCTGCTTTGCTTTCGGATCATAGTGTTGAGACCGTTGGCAACGCTCAACCATGTTTGGCTCCCTCCGATAGTGCGCTTTGGAGTTCTGGGGGGTGCCTCAAATCAATCTTGTTTGTCTGAATATATCCCCAACCACCTGCATGTGGTACCCATTTGATGCAAACAGGTGGTGAACAGTGGTCAAAGACGGTTAGTAGTGGTTAAGGATAATACAGGCGGTAAAATGGTGAACAGGTGGTAAACAGGCGGTAAACAGGCGGTAAACAGGCGGTAAAAAAGACGTTTGAAGGCGGTGGGAGGCGGTCAAAAGCGGTTGAAGATGGCCAAACTTGGTCGGAGACGGTACCTAATCGCCAAACGGCTAGAAAGGTGGGGTAAGAAAGGAAGAGGCAAAACCAGTTGGTTTGAGGCACCCCCCTGTGTGGGAGTTGATTTGTTCGGGTTAGAGTTTTATTCGTTGATTCGATTTATTTGGATCTAATCTTTTGTTCTCGTTGGAAGTCGACTCGACTGACACTCGACTGAGTCACTCGGTGGATACCTCCTGGTACCGTCCCAGTAGAATTACATCGTGCTGTACCGTCCCCGTAGAATTACTGTTTGCATGTTTCAACGACGATACGAGGGAAGCCATTTTTTTGGGCGCGAAGTGTCGATACGATGGCATGCTGATTGGCAAAATTTTTGCGTTTTCGCACAAAATTCACTGTTTGTACCTGTTTTGGTTGTTTTCGCGTTCAGAGGAATTCCGGCCAAAAACGAGTCGCGTGTCATGTAGTGGTTAAACCCACCATTATATCGTTTAATACCGTTTTGTAGACTTTTCAGTTGCTCTTAATTTTGATTTCTCCCGGGAACGATTGGGTGGAAAAAGCGAGAATTGTTGGAATATGCACGACTCGACTCGGCTTTTCTCCCAGCTTTCAAAATTTGGGCAGGCTGACTGGCTGTATCAATGATGTATGTACCGGTTCCAACAACGCTGAGCTCCTTCCCTTACCGGTACATGTACCAAGCCACAACAGCCCAGCTCCTCCCGTCATTGCCATGCAAGTAAGTCCAAGTGATAAAAGAAGTGGACCCAGCTACTAGCCACCAAAGGAAACCATAGACAACCATCGCCACAGGCAACTCAACAACAGTTTTCCTTTCTCGTCCACTGCATTCAGGCTCTCCTCTGGTTGCATCAGTTTCGACAGCCGTTCCTTTTTCAATAGCATCGTAACATCAACAACCAACAAAACAATCCACCAAGATGAGCAACAATGTGAAAGAAACCTTTGACAAGGCCGTCAGGTTGGCCAGTTCTCCTGCTGGCGGCGGCAAGTGGAAGTTGTCCCCGTTACAAAAGGGACAACTCTATGCCTGCTATAAGCAAGCCAATTTTGGAGACTGTCCAGGAAAACGTCCCGGAATAACGAAGCTTCTCGCACGCCAAAAATATGATTGTTGGAAATATTGCGAGGGAATGGAAAAGGAAGAAGCCATGAAGAAGTACATTGAATTTGTTGAAAATCTCGCTCCCGAATTCTACTACTGGACGAGGGGAAGTGTCAAGGCAACAGCAATTGCATGTTCCCGTTCCGTGCAAATTTCTTTTTGAAAGAGGGAGGAAATGAAGTCTGTCACTATGAAGCCATTAGAAATATAATCAACAGGAAGAAGATAGGCATGTCTGTCTTTGGAGATGGGTCGGGGGAGACTGACTGGTCGGGTACGGTACCAGCGCTGGTGATCTGAATACTGGACTGACACCTTCAGTGGGCAGCCTAGTATCTCCCCATCTTGTCTACCGAATTCTACAGTAGAAAGAATTTGCTCCAACTAACCAACCAACTACATGCTAGATGACAGAGCTAGTTAGACGATCAAAAGAAGAACAACAGCTCAATTCGTAGCTTATAAATTTACTACCTTGTGCCGCGATAACACCGGTTATCCGGTTTTAATATTGAGTTCCGCTATAGTGTCGCCCACTGAGAGAGGCCGTTGCCGGGGTCCAACATAGCATAGCTGCAAACAGTAGCCTTCAATAGCATTGAATGACTTCCTGGTGATAGCTCAGGGGTACACGATGCACTAGAACAAGGCACTCGTGGATATATCCTTCCCGCTTTCTGCCGCCTCTGTGCCCAGAGGTGTATTGTTCTAGATTTCATGGCTGGTAGATCACAGGACACCACAATCCACGGAGGAAGTCGACAGCAACTACCTCTCTCATGAACAAGTCAGCCGCCTCTCGGACTTTGGGATCAGTTGGAAAGTTCTCCGCGGCAAGGGAGACCCCAACAAACGCCTCTGTCTTCATCACCTCTGTATTGTGCCGGAATGATCCCAATCGGCACAGTGTCGCCAACAAAACGCAGGCGTTTCGCTGCAATAGTTTGTACCGAGGGAAGGATTTCATAGCGTTTACCACGACTTTCACACCTTGTAGATTGTTCACGACATCATGGGCCACATACGCACGTTTGATTGGACCTCCAAGATGGTGACCACACAACACCATGTTTGTGATAAAGGTGATGCCCGTGACCTGCAGATCCTGTTTGGTTGGATGCCTGGCCATTGCGTGGACGACTGCGTGGGTGCCTCCCTGCTGGTGCATCTCGTAGAATACGCCCAGCTGACCACGGCAGAACTTCCTAAAGTTCAAGGTGAAACAAGAGAGACAAGAACTCAGAATGCGAGCAATATTTTCATTGTCCACCAGCTCTTTTAGGCCTGCAATGAGGAGAGTATGGCCGCCGGCGGCAACAACTTCGAGACAGGCGCGTTTCGTATTCATGACTTTGCACAGCCTCATTGCAACGGTTGTCACGAGGATACCGTTGCGTCTCTTGTTGCGAAGCAAGAGATCAGCCAACGATTCTACGAGCGTCGAGACATTGCATCCTCCGCTCTCGTAGTCATAATCATCATAGGCTTCATCAATCACGCTACAGGTGCGATTCGCGGTGTTTGTGTCGAGGCAGCCGTGAGGTTGCATTGGGTCGAAGCGTCTTGACATTGTTGGAAGGAGCTTTGAAGGGTGGTGAAGACGATGGTGTATGCTGACCAAATGAGGCGAAAGAAGTGAACAAGCACTGTGCACGAAAGTCTGAAGAAACCAAATTGAAATTGAAACCTGAAAACCCGAAGAGGTGCGTGCGCCCTTTGTACTTTCCCCTACGGTACCGGTACGGTAGCGTACGGTAGTAGTATGGTACCGGTAGCAGGCATTCACGGGAGCGCTTTCTGCTGAGTTTCCTTCAGATAGAGCCCAACTTTCATCCTCTTCTTGCTACTGTGCATAGAAGTTCCAGAAGGTTGGGTCTCCATTGTATGGCTCTGTGGTTCAAGCGCAGAAGATGTGACATGATTGCTGGAAACCGATCCGTCGCCCGGAACCTTCGAGTGACACCCTTCCACGTACCGGTACGGTACCGTACCGGTACTATTAATAGTAAGAATTTTTGCCGAAGAGCATACAGTACAGGCTAGCATTTTCCGGACCAAGATATTCCCCCACTTCCAATTACATGTATTTCTGCTCCTTGCCGTCGGAGCAGCTCTGGGATGCAGAAGTCGCCAAAGAGAGTTCCTTAACTGAGATGAGATCTTGTGTAAAATATTTCGAGCCAATATGCCGGCTCACGTTCATGCCGTTAGATGGCTACTAATGTAATTACCATATTTAATGCTATCTTAATGGACGAAGCATATCATTTGAATTGATAACGTCACGCTCCTTATTTTGAGACAGAGTCAACTCTACTAAGTCACATGTTTGATGCTTCGACCAGTCAATCTTCGCTTTGGAGGCCACCGGAATGTGCTTGCAACTTGCAACCGTAAAATAGATGCTTGGCCTACTAGTACCGCTTCAAGACATCGTGACATCGTCAAGGGTAGCATCATCGGTGGTGGTCCATGGATACAGTACAGTCAACCAGACTACTTGAATCTATCACCGGTATCTTTCTTTTGGGTATATTATTATCATGGTGGTGACGACGATGCTGTCATCACTGAACGACAGATTACTCAAAGATCATCGACCATCTGCAGAGAGGAGATTCACTCGAATACACTATCTCTCCATTCTAGGGATTATCTTGTCCCTCTCCTGTCGATCCCTACTGCCCGAGACGTTTACCATTGGTGCCGTGGTTGAGATTCTGGGAACCTGCAGTCAGTCCTTGGCGAGTGTCTCTCGTGCCAAACAAGTTACCCCGGTGGTTCATCGGCCATTTGACCCCGTCTGGGACACGCCACTCTCCTCCCAAGAACTGTTCCACGGTAGCACCAAGATTATCTGGGGATACTGGAATACCTATCCGGAGAAGTTTCCCTTTCTCTGTCAAAAGGCACTAGCATCTTGGCAGTTACGGAATCCAGATTGGCGTGTGATCATGCTCAATGACGACAACTTTCGCCAGTACGTGTCGGTATCCGATCTGCCAACCACCTTTGACAGTCTCAAAGTGCAACATCGCAGCGACTTGATCCGATTGGCCGTTCTGATTCGCTATGGCGGTGCCTATGTGGATGCATCTACCTTGATGTACAAGGGATTGGATGGGATTTGGAATGACATTGACAATCAGCACCAAAAGCTGCTCCTAACTTCACTCAACATGCTCCCCGGCCCCAAACTCGACATGTACAACAATGGATTGCTCATGACACGCGCCATTGGCAATCCGTTCTTGGTGGAATGGCAACAACGCACAATCGCCTACAACCACGCACCGGCCTTGACGGTTCCCGAAATGAAACAACATCCCGCCTTTGCGCGCGTTCACAAGTACTGGGATGATCCAACCTTGGGCGTACTGGGTGGCATGATACCCTACCATTCGCATTTATGGATGTTGAACGACATGATCTGGCACAATGACATGGGATTGGCCAGTAAGCACATTGTCCATTTGCCCAAGATTCGGTGGAGTTTTTACTACCATTCGTTGCCACACTTTTTTGACAAGCTTCGCATCATGACATCCGAGCAAGCGCAAGATCCCCGCCTTGATCCCGACGTCGTGGGATGGACTCCGCTGTCCTTGTTTTGGGCCATTACCCGACACATTATGCATGGCTTTTACTTGAATGAAGAACTGGCTCGGGGGGTCGTTGAAAACATTCACATGCTCAAGTTTACATCTCACGACATGCCACTGGTGGATGTAGCGGTGAAGCTTGGTTTTAACAATACTGTGGGACGCATCATTGACTCTGCCTACAATCTGACACGGTTCCCCATTCAACAAGCCACATTGGTGGGAGCGACACCGCCGTCACGGATACAAGAATAGCTGCCGTAGGAGCAAGCAAACTCGCTTGTTTCTAAGTTTGGGTTGCTCTGTAGGCACAACAGCTGTGCTCTGTGAGGGGTATTTATGTGTGTATGTATGTTCTGTATTGCTTCATAACAAATACTTGTTTGATCGGGTTTGCTCCTGTGCTGTGTGAATGGATGGATACTTACTTGTGACAATGGATGTGACAACAATATGCGAAAACAAAGACGTCTAGATGCTAGCAAAGCTACAACAAGCAAATGATGTAATAGATAAAACTTGATATCGTAGGCAACACAATGGTGATTGTGCGATAGGTCGGTGCAGGCATACGATTCGATTCAACAGATGTTGCCTCCGTGAACAAACTAATCTCATGCAGGCATTATTTGTTTTGCAGTGTGACATTTGCCGAGGCTGGTTGAATGAACCTTCAACTGATTATCAAGCTAACCTCAGTCCCACAAATGGCATTGGACTGAGTATTGTGGTCACATCGTCCATTTGTCTTGCATTCGGCGTTCGTTAACAGCGTGTGTCCTGTTTGTGAAACAAGGAATGGGACTGTGCGCAACAAATTATGTGCAGCAAGAGAGACAGAAAGCACCTGGGCGGCGACAAGCACAATCTGCAAGAAAACGACCCCTAAAAGAGCTTGAGCCGTGAGCTCTGACAGATCTGTTTTCTGCGCTGAATAGTGGTAAGGCAGAGAGCCAGGTTTATACGTTGAAACTGGTTCCAGGCTACTAGCTACAGATAGATGCGAAGTACTCGAGGCAAGTCCAACTTGATTCAATTCCTTTTATCCTATTCAGCAGTCTTCTTTTGCGCTTCAGTTTGTTGCTTGGCTCGTGCTATTGCAGCGTCTTGGAGGCGTCTCATCTGCTCCTCCACAGTCTCTGCAGTTCCACCGTTTCTTGCCGCTAAAATTCCATGCTGAGCCAAACCACCAATCATTGTAGCGTCAATCTGTTTCAGTGATGCTATCAGTTCCGCTAATTTCTTTCGATACTCAAACTCGTCCGCGACGGGATTGTATTCCAGGTAAAGTGTATCCAACCCATGGCTTCCCAAGGCGCTCAGGGGCTCTACATCTGTGAAACTGGCAATCTTGTTGCCAGACAGCCACAGTTCTTCTAGTGAGATCAAATGAGCCAACGGAGCCGTGCTGATGATGCGATTGCGACTCAAATCCAACACATTCAGCTTGGGAAATGTCTGAGCGAGGCCAGATTCCGCTGTGATTCCCTCGGAAGTAATGCCATTGTGCGCCAGGTACAACTCTTCCAGAGTGTCATTCTGACTGGTCAGATTCTCCACTTCTGAGATGCGGTTGGATTGAACATCCAAGCGACGTAGCTTCTTCAACTGAACAGGATATCAAGTGAAACCATGGATGGATAAGCAAGTTGGAAAGTAAACACACCTAGGAAGCCAGAGCTGCGGACGCATCACAATCTTTTACTACTCACATTTTCCAGGCCTTCAATTTTCTCAATTTTGTTCTTTCCCAGCCAGAGCTCTTCCAGACTCACAAGACCTGAGAGTTCTTCTCCATCCATGACCCTAATTCGGTTAGCTCCGAGATCAATCTTACGCAGCTTGCTCAACCCTTTGAGACCTGCCATTGACTTGAGCTTGTTGTTGGCCAAGTCTGATGCAAAGAAACCGACAAGGTCAGCTACAATTCAACAAAAAAGAAAGCCCTCTCAATGCATGCACCAGGCCCACAAGATTGTGGCCCACAAATTGCAGTCCAGCTAACTCACATAATTCCGTCAAATTGGGGCAGAATGAGACAGGCTCCATGTCTCGAATGACATTGTAGCTCATATCCAAAATGGTGAGGGTGCTTCCAGGAGTCCCATCTTCGCCATCGTTCAGATTCTTCAATTCATCAACCATATTGTCATAAAGCTCCAAGAGCTGTAAGTGTTTGAGTCCCTCCAAACCTTCCATGGTCTTGATAAGATGGGAACGAAGGACCAAATGTGTCAATTCTGGAGATACCGTTTCATGAAACTGCTGGCCAATTTGAGTAATCTTTTGTCCCGCTGTTCCCACAACCATGATTTCAGTGTCTTCTTTTAGAAATCTCAGCCACATCGGAAGGATAATGAATAGGAGCATTGGCAGGGTCGCATTGACCCATTTGAGTCCATTCCATGGGAAGCTCCGCTAGTTGGGCACGATTGCCAGAAGAATTGGTTCCCCCATTCTCTGCAGGAGCTGCTGTGGCTCCTTCATCATTCTCAGCTGCGGATTCCTCAGCTCTTGAAGCTTCCTTTGACTCTTCTACCACCTCCTTTGCTTCTTCTTCCACCATTGTTGCCTATTTGTCACGATACTCGACTGGCCTTGGTGAGCTCCAGTTTCTGTGATTGAATGGTCGCGGCTCCGACCAAGCCATGGGCCTCGAAACGACGGCTCCACCAACCTCAAGGGTGGCAACGCAGCCTTGCTGGCTAAAATTGGGACCAGCACGTTTACGAGAACGTTAACCCTTGTGAAGATTCGATTCATGTATCTTTAGCTTTCCCGACCATGTACAGATTAGAACACAGACGGTGTCGCCCTGCGCAAACGGACAGATAACGTTCGACCGAGACACCATCGTATGACCTCAGTTTAACCTCAACCTTTTCGACTACACCCGAACCTCTAATGCTTTGGAGAGTGCTCTTTTTTGACAGTCATGAATTCAAACAGACTTCGCGTGACAGCTATGGTAAACAGGAGAGAAATCCAAGCTTGGCCGACAACAATGGTGAGTGCTGTACATGTATCCAATCGGCCGATCGATCGATTGATTCGATTCGAGGTAAGCCTATTATCAAGAGTGTTAATTGAAGGTACAGCGCTGACTTCTCTCCCTCATTGTATTTCTATGGTATGCAGGAGAGAATTCCGAGCTCGGCCGTCAACAGAGTTGTTTTATTAATCTAATCGAATCGGTCGCACCTCTGTTATCCTCCCTCTGTTATCCAAGCCTCACTCAAGCCGACCATCTCCGGTGCAGAAATGAAAGCCATCCCTCATTCAATCCTATGGACCGTGGGATGGCAGTCAGTTCTCGGCCCATGACGGCCAAGTTGGTGCAATTTGAAAAACAATGGTAAGTCTCCGGTCGTCTGCAGTTGAGCACAGAAAACAAAACTCATATCTATTTGTTGTTTTCTCTGATGTACTGCTGACAGCCGATGAACTACCATTGTCGAGTCCATTTCGGTCGCTCCGGATAAGAAGAGGAAGAGGCTGCTGCTGCCGATTGATCGCTATGGAGGAGTCTGTTAACTCAAGCCCTATCAGCAGTCTGAACGGTGGAGATCTCCGTCGAGTCATTAAAAGGCAACAGGAGCGAGGAGACGACAACACACACACAAGAGAGTGGAATCCTCCAATTGGATTCATCCTTCCTTGTTATTTCCTAGTGTTTTGGTGGTGATTCCTGTTTCTGTACCCATTTTCCTGCATGCACAAGTCCCGAAAGACTTCTTCGTACAATAAGATAGATGTAACTAGCTAGTAAGACAATAGTAGAACGCCAATTACCAAACAATAGACCATACCCATTACACTAGTAGAGATCTTGTCGATTCAATAGCATTGCTGGATCTATGTTTCGTAAGCTTAACTCATGGACTGTGCCTGGTACGGTACACTGTACTGAAAACTCTGGCTGCAGGTTTTGGTTACACAAACCAAAACTTCCAATTCGGTTTTGGTCAGACCGACGAAGGTGGTCAGTTGAGCAGGGCGAGACCGTCTGTGACATAATCCTTGTCTGTTCCCACCCTCCACAAAATGACAGCAAACGTTGCCATCTGCCATCAACAAAGCTCTTGCCCGACAGTCCTTCATCATTATCATCACCCTTTACCAGTACCACAATGGGATTTCAACAGCTGTCGACTCTCTTGATTGTGTTGCTCCTTCAACTGGGGCAGGCTCTTTCTTTTGGCTTCATGGAATGTCGCTCCGTGCCGGTTTCCCAGTCAACCGTCGAACATTCGTCGCACCCTCATGATGCTTCTCTATTTCAAGATCGAAGGGCATTCCTTCAGGCATCAGCTACACTACTAGTTGCCATATCAGCAGGACAACCACAGCCAGTCAGTGCTTCCAATGGCGAGATGGCCAACCTGGAACTCCCGAGTTACATTGAATTTCTCATGGAAAAGAATGCAATGGCCGACCCAGATGCATTCCTCTACAAGCGTCCGGATCCAAAGACTCAATTGACGCGGCTCTTGGATGCCACCAAACGGCTCGAGGATATTCCGGCATTGGCAGCCGATAAGAAATGGAGTCAAGTTCAGGGAATTCTCACGGGTCCGTTGGGCACTTTGGCGCAAACGCTCAATATGATTGCCAAAGAGTCATCTCCCGAAGTACAAGTCAAGGCCAAAAAGGTCAAGGAAACAATATTCAACATCAGTATGGCAGCGTCCAAAAAGAGCGAGGCCGAAGTTGTAGCCAAAACCAAGGCGGCCAAAGCCGATCTGGAAGCCTTTGTAAGGGCGGCCTTTTAGCCGGTAGTGTAATGGTATGCGACATGCCACTCAAATTGAATAAGCAGAGACGCCGCCTTTTCTAAGTTGCAACAACAGTCAGTAGGGTTGCCTACTCAGTGTCACAACTGCCAGCGCATTCCGATGCGGAAAACATTTACTTACTGGTGTTGATGGCCGGTGAGCCTCCTCGAGCACAAGGTATTGACTTGGCAATGTTGCCTGCCCCTATTTACAGGACTCTTGGATGCTACGATGGCTACAAAGGATTTGAGGTTCAGACCACCGACAAGGAGTGCCATACTTGGAGGAATTGGACACACTGCAATCAAACAGCGTATATGTAACTGTGTCCAACTCAACACAACACATTCTGAGAGGATTTCTGCCTGCCGCAGGAACAATTAAGGGCTTCAACCTCCCAAGAGCCTGTTCATTTATAGATTCTGAACGCAAAAAGTCCTGTTTCTACCTATCACCTATAAGGTACCTAAAAATATCTAGCTACAAAAAGTCCACTTGGATTGCCTGTCGTCACCCCTCCTGGGAAAGTCCTCGCGAGGTCTTGCATCTACCGTACGTTGGCAGCTGTTTCATTTTTGCCACAACTTTTGCCTTCAATCTTTGCTTGCCTAATGAATGACATTGCATTGCTTTGTGGTTTGATGAGGCAAAACACACGAACTAGTTCCTAACGTTCTCGCCCATTGGCAAAATAGGTGGCTCTCTCGTGTTCATCCTTGCTGTGTGGTTTGATGAGGCCCAAAGTATTCGTTCCTAACGTTCTCAGCGAGAGGCAAACGAGGTGGATGTCTCCCCATTGTCCACCATTGGAAAATCGCAACAGAGGATCTCAGCGTTCCAAGCAGCATTCATGGCAACGAGTACACCTCGACTTTACCAACTTTGGCTCCAGCGGGATTGAGATGGAAAGGCCCACCAATGGCAAGCGTTGTCCCATCTCGGGAGATGGAAATCCTTCTCCCGAACCATTCATTGGCATTCCCTCTGATGGGAGGTCCGACCTGTTCCCACGATTCATTGGTAGCGTTGCTGTTCCATTGAAAGACACGTACATGGCCGCCCCGGACCCCTACATCGTCATTCCAAACGGCACCAATCGCCATAACAGAGCCATCTCCGGAAAGATAAACGGATCTACCGAGACGATCACCTTCCTTGAAGCCATCTACGGGTTGACCCATTTGTTTCCACTCGCCGCTGTCCTCCCAGTGGTGCACGTACACTCTCCCGGTTCCATTATTGTGTTTGAACGCTCCAAAGGCAATGGTTCTTCCGTCCGACGAGAGGGAGATGGAACGGCCCACTTCATCTTTTGTGTTTTCACCGTAAAAGTCTGGCCCGCGCTGTTTCCACAAGGAGGATTGTGCGTCAAAGTCGTAGACCCGCACCACGCCCGACCGTTCGCCATTGGCGTCGAAACCATATCCTCCCGCTGCCAACACGAGTCCATCTTCCGAGAGTGCTGTCATGTGGCCAAAGAAATCCAATTCTTTGATACCATGCAACTCCTGGCCCATCTTGTCCCACCGATCGGTAGTTTCATTGTATCGAAAGACGCGAGCAGCTCCAACATCCATTCCAGTCCGATTGGTCTCTACGGCTCCCGGCGCACCGACGGACAATATGGATCCATCAGCCGAAAATTGTACATCCATTCCAACGCGTTCACTGGCGTGTGTGCCTTCTATTACTTGTCCAAACGGTTCCCACGTCGCTTCTTGGCCATCTTCTTCACGCAATCGATAGGTCCGTACTCTCCCGGCCTTGTCTCCACCTCCTTCCGTCCAGGCTCCAATACCACCAATGGCCAATGTCTTTCCACTGCTGGCCAGAGTCACTCGACCCGACTCGTCGCCTTGCATGTCTCCCACGATTTCGGATCCCAATTGCTGCCACTCTGGCTGATGACTGTCATCTAACCGATACACGACAACTCGACCTCTAAATTCGACCGCTTCTTCTCCTCCCACCGCCACGGTTTGGCCATTCCCAGAAAGCGCTAGACTTTCTCCAAATTCGTCAAAATTCTCCACACCCGTCAGCGTTTGCCCTAGTTTTTTGGACGTCCAAAAGGGATCATTCAGGTGGGTGTTGTTTTCTTTTGTCGTACTGGCGGTGTCGTCCAAGCCGGTGGCCGTTACCGACACGTAAATGGCGACAATCAAGGCGGCCACCAACACCACCACGGAAACAACCCAAATCCAAACGGAAATCTTTTTGCGTTGTGGAAGCGCCTTGGCTTCTGGGATGGAGTCCATTTTTTGTCGTAGTTCATCTCGCTCCGCCACAATGTCTTCGTAGTCGGCCGGGGCCAGTTCGGCATTGACCAGGGTCGCAGTCGCGGCTTCTTCGTCGTCGTGGGATGTCGCGATGGTATTCTCGTGTTGTTGCACTCCAGTTTCTCTGCTGCTGCTAGTTGATTCTTCCTGATGACCACTGCTACTACCCACGCAACTGTTGTAGGAAGATCGACGCCGCGGTTGCGGATTGCTGCCTCTTCGAAATGCGGATTCCGCATAGGCGCCCGGAAGAGACTGGGGATCCACGGCGGAGCGTCCTTCATCGTTCGTTGGAGGCTCGACACTCCGTAGCATACCCTTCTGGTCCACTTGCTGATGCAACTCTTCCAGTTGCTGGTGCAAGTCTTCCAGGGACTTTGCCATGGCGCTGCTTTCCGGGACACTGTCTTCGGGCATGCTGCTATTCATGTCCTCGCTTTGAGCTAGAGTGGTGCTTGCAGGTTCCATCGTCTTCAAAAACAAGTACTGTACTGTAGTTAATTGCTGTTGTTTTACGGTGCTTTGGTTGCTGCGGCTGCTGTTGGCAAGTTGGCAAGCTGCTTGTGTTGCGAGTTGCGAGACTGTCTTCTTGACCTCTTCGGATTGATGGGCGGTGGGAGGTGGGAGGTTCCGAAGCTGTTCGGGTTCACTCTCTGGACTGCTCTCTCTAAGTACTCCGAAGAATTCAAGCTATGTACGGCACCTCCTGGTAAACCAGTAAGAAATGGGAAAAAATATGTTTTGCCGAACTAATTTGTAGAAAACATTTCTGTAGACTGATATTGGTGCCGATTGGTTGTCAAAGAAAAGGCAAGTTTTACTTTTTACATAAATATTTTGTCTAAACCATCTTTTTAAAGGAACGGTAGCCGACGACCCAGTGAAGTTGAGTAAAGCCCTGTGAACTGTGGTCACGAGAGTACTGACTCAGCAGCTTGATTATAACGGGAGGGGTCATAAATCACCTTGTAAAAGGAAGCATTCTTTGGTGGTGTTCCGTTGTTCCTTTGGCCTACCGGTATCACTAGCTATTTTAAATAAAAAAATACGCCGTGACAGCCTTTTCGCTTTCTGTAATGTCCAGTGCAAGAGACGAATGTGCGTCCAAACAATTTTAAAATTGAATTCCTCCAGTCACCAGTCACTCTCGCGAAAAGCGAATAGGCCCAGCGTCGAAGTCGGAGAATAGAGCTAGCTGCTAGCTAGCTACTGTACATGTTAGCTTTAGCAAGTACCGTAGAGTCCGAGTAGGAAAGTCATTTACGGCGGGGGGCTTTTAGGAAAAGAAGAGGGGAAATTGGGGGCTCTAGGCTCCGTGGAGAATACTGGGGACCAACACGAGGGCCGAAGGGCTTGAAATCAAAGATCATATCACTCACAGAAGAAGGCTTGTGGAGCGCATGGGAGCGACGCAGTCCCTGCAGCTTGTGTCTTCTCCCTCGCTTCTGGAAGGCAATGTCCCTGTTTCATCCTTGACACAACTCATCAGAGGCATTCTGTGTGCCGTAGCTCATATAGCCAAAACCATTTAGTACCCCCAACAGGTAGAAAGCTCGTAGCTCGGGCCAAAGTGTACTAACAGGAGTAGAAAATACGATGCAGCCCTTGGGATGCCACAATTGGCTGGCCCGCTTAAGTTTTATGAGTCCCCGCTGTAGATTCGCCTTTGCTCTCCTTTGCTCAGCTGCTGGATCATAGAAGCATAGGACCAGCCAATACCTGTAAGCCTCGATTTTGAGATTCGATTCCAGTACCAACTTCCTTCAAAAAGTCTCTCGGACTACGGAACATCCGTTTCTATTGCCACTCTAGCTAGAGTAGTTAACTACGATAGTTTCAAAACAGCAGCCGAAACAAAACAAATACAGAGAACATCTTCTGGACATCTTGCCTTTTGTCAGCAACAATCCATCTCACTACTTCCTGCCACGGAATAGTTCCAGGGAATGCACAGCACAGTATCCACCATAGCATGGCAAAAAGAAGAACATGACGCTCTGCAACTTGGTCTTCGTTTCCATCTTGTGGTAATCATCGTCCTTTGTGTCAGCTGGTATGGCTGAGTACTTGGACCAAAGATACTTCAACTTATAAGCGTACAAGGCAAACAAGGAATAGGAAAAGACGGGGATGGTTTGAGGGTGTTGATAAATGCACACCAACGTGCTGGCAGTAAAACCAAAGTATCCTTCGTACGCGACCATGAACAACTCCCAAATCTTTTCAAACGACTTGCGGTTCACGTCTTCTAAGATGGTACTATCTTCTTCCTTTTCTTTGGTTGAAAGCAGCGCGTCCAATGCCCATTTGGGACCTTTGGTGACAAACATGGGAAACGTGACAAACGTGTTCAAGGCGTCCACCGTAAAAGCAGTGTACACCAACGCCTCTTTGGTTAGAAACACGCTCATCGTTGCGGATGTTCAAGGAAAGAAACTCTATGTAAGCTGAAGCGGATTGCCGACGTTCTTATTACTCAGCCTCGTCGTCTGGTGGCTGAATGGAAACTCGTAATGATAAGAAAGCAAAGCTCTTTTTTAGGTCTTGTTGGTGTGGTGTGTGTGAGGCGACTTGGTGGGGGGCTTCGATCTTTGGAGTCATGGGTGGAGTTGAATTCAATCCTGTACATGGCGTCATCTCCACTTTTAGCCTGGCGTGGAAAAGTGGACTCAAAGCGGTAGGAAATAATGCGTTGTCCCAAGCTACTCTGATGACGATTTAGTCCGGATTTTTGGATGCCCCAGTCAAGTCTTAGCAAATCTACACTCTCAGACTGAAAAGTCAGGATTGCTTCAGGGTTAGGGTCAATGATCAATCTGGATCAATCTGGACCTTTCAGTTGAATACAGCAAGAAAAATCCGGACTTTTTGAAAAATCCGGACTCGTTCGTCAGAGTAGCAAGCTCATTATTTTAGGGGGCCAAGTTTCTGTACCGGTACGGTATGGTACAGGCTGAATCTAAACTATCGCGACAAACGCAAGCCCGCTCCCGATACGACATTCGAATGCGAACCGGAACTTCCAGGAACGTTCCGTGAAAAGACTTAGGGGATATATAGCCTTGGCCTTAAACTCAACTGACATCACTCCGCTCCGGAGCTCGGATCGATCCAAGCCGCTTTCATTATTGTTTCGATGGATACCTCTATCTTTGCTCTATCAAGATGATGCTTCCTCCTCTTCCTCTTAACAAAGGCTACTACTCACCACCATGACAGGCTCCTCTCGTTTGGTTAGCGGCAGCGGCGGCCGTTCTTTCGTACTACGGATCGGTTGACGGCTGGTTGATGACTTCTTTCTTCTTCTTCCGCGGAGCGACCGATCGATCGGAGCGACCATGGCGCCTCCTCTTCCACGGAGCGACGATCGAAGCCTCGACCGTGAAGGCAACAACAAGCGAATACTACTAGTGTAACAACAAGCGAAAGCAACGCCTCGAAAACTTCTCCGGATCACTTACAGCATTTGGGGGATGCTTGAATCCACGGAGCAAGTCGAGTCTTCTCCATGGATCGGCCATCGGCCGTGAAGTCTCTGCTACTGCTACTACTACAAAAGGAACAAGCTGCATCTACTCTACTACTGTGCTGAGTGGTCGATTGAAAACAAAAGACTGAATCTGCATTTTTTGCCACCTTGGAGCCACAATTCTCCTTTGAACCTTTGGGATGGGTCCTCCAGTCTTCATGCAAAGCCTCCCAGTCCTCTACTAGGCTCTACTGTGTAGATTGAGTGCTGAGCGTGAGGACAGGAGCACCTTTCCCATGGAGAAATGCATGGCAGAATGACAACAAAATGGAATTCCAGCCTGCTTTTTGGTGGGCTCCATAGGAAACCTTGGAGATAGCTAATGCTTTTGAAGAGGAGTGTCTGTGAGTGTGTTGGGGAGCTACTCCTCTGAAAGCATTAGCTATCTCAATGTATTGGTAAAGCTAATAGCCATTTGGTCACCACTGTTGCCATGGTGATAAAATTCATTTTATTAGCTTCAATCTTTTCTTTATTCCAACTAGTCATTTCAATGCAGGATTCGCGAAATGACCACTTCTGTTAGAAATGACCGCTTTCGATTTCGGTTTGGCCAAAACGAGAATCCATTTTGACACCTGTCAGCGGTAAAAGAAGTCATCCTGTAGAGTTGCGGTAGCGGTAGCAAGCGAGCTATAGATTCCTGTTAAAACTACGGTAGAAACAGTTGTGATAGCTGTGGTTTCCACTCTTCTTTGCCTAAGCTTACTACCTTTTCTGACTCCTCTTTAGTAGTAGTAGTGGTAGCTTTCGCTTTATGCAACTGGGGTGAGGAGCGAAGTGATGCATAGTTGTGGTCAGTGGTACAGTAAGCACTGGTAAGCACACCTGGCGCTTATTTTCAAAGAATTGGCGCGAATGGAGATTCGATGTTTACACGGAGTATATTTAAAATAGGGATTCCATGGCCAGGGTCATTCCTCAGTGTAGAAGCTCTGTTCGAAGATGTTGAATGTTGCGCTTTCCAGTGATTTTACTCAAGGCAAGCCGTCCTTCCATTGCATGGACGTTTGGACTGTCTGAAATATGCTCACGAAAATGGGTTTTGCAGCGGACTGTGGAAATCTGGAGGCTGCCAAGTACTACTAGTAGTATGTCTATGAAAATGGATGCCCTTGCAAGAAAAACTGCCGCTGTTCCGAAGAAGTAGTGCGTCAAACAGTAGTGCGTCGAACGGAATGGATTGGAAGAAGAGTCAACCGGTTCAATCGAACGTAAGAAGCTCGCTGCCACAGTTCCAGCATAACCAATAACCAAACAAGAGGAGCCTGTCATGTTGGAGACTTGATTCTTCAAAAGACTTTTTCAAGAGTAGTCTAGTATCCGCTGTAAACAGTAAGGATAAAGAGTAGATCTAAAGAGGAGGTATGGTACATCGTAACATCATCTTATTAATAAAATATCACGGTGGCAAACATCCAACATGCGGTCAAGCCCCTTGTTACGGTATCGGTAGGGACTGCTCTTAGAAAAATTGAGAATTCTCGACTTACTCTAGCTAGTATGGTCATACCGTAATCGCCGGAGTACCGGTACGTTGTAGCAATGTGTGCTCGGCTGGGTCGCAGGTGTTTTTAAACTTTTGAAGGGACCAAAGATAACTGCCCCGGACCTTGCCTGTGTGGCTTGCCAGCCTCACAAAATCAAAGAATCGAATCGAATCCAATCCAATCCATACAGTACCAGGTCCACCACGTCCCGACGATCCTGATGAGGATCCTGTCTTCTTTTTGGTAGCTGGCGGCACCATTGCAGTCTACATGTACAATGTACATGCGGTGTTTTGAACTTTAAAAAATACCCTGCCGGTGTGGCTTGGCTTGGCTTGGCTTGGCTCAAAGCAATCGGTCTCACTTCATGAATTCATTTCTTTGGCTCGACCGTTTGGGCTCCACCGTTTACTACAGTATAATAGTACCGTTTGGGCTCCTACCGTTTCCAATGATAAAACCAACGTTGAGTGAGTTGACGGTATTTGAGGTACCTGGTACCAGTTCTGTATCTTTTGCTATCGTCCCATCAACATGATGCAGATCCAACTGACTCGACTCGTCACTCAATTCACCTTTCATCTCCCTCCAATATAGAGTGACGGTCTAGTTGATGTTGATCGTGATCGTGATCTAGCCAAGTGACAGTCAGAGGGGAGAGAAGAACCATTGCAGCATTTGTGGAAGCTAATACTGTTCCACGAGTTGATCTTCAGCCACGGGGTTCGTAAAACTGCCAAACAACATCTAGATGTTGCTTTGGTTCTCCGTTGCATTCGTCTCTATCAATCCTCTCTGCTGGAGCATCCAAGATCTATTCGATTCATCATGCATACTGTACAAGACCAGAAGACAGTCCATGGCCGTGGATCTTTGGGCCCACCGTTTGGCTTCCACCGCTATTTACACACCACCTACAAAACACTACTACCCGTACTATCGATCGGTACCACTACCAGATGAAAGGAGGTGAGATGACTCGTCACTCTTGCTCTTGTACATCTATTTAAAAATCTGTCTGGCTGGTGTATCCATCTCACTTTGCCTTTCTACTCCACCTTTCCATACTTTGCAATAGGAGAGTGAGGGGAGACAAGGATTATTGTCAATCAACAAGTGTCACAGCAAGATCCCTATCACTTGTATGACACGGTCTCTCCTAATACCAATACAACAATTTTGTGATCGTCCTTCAACATGATGCAGATCCAACTCAACTCGACTCAACTAACTCAGGTCACCTTTCATCTCCCTCTCCACTATGAATTCTGGTGAAGGGTCTTTTCTACAATGTTGCTATGATCTATATCAATCCAATGACAAAACAAGGCTCTGCTGGCCTCCCACCGGTACCTGGATCCATTTTGCCGTTTATTGCACGATGATACAACGGCAACAAGTCGCCGGCGACACTATTGTCAACTGGGTTCGGAGCATGGGCCGGTACCACGGCATCACTTCACCTTAAATCCTTGAATGGAATCACCTACTTTGACTGCACTGGCATTCAAGTTTCCAGTTTTAAAATGCAGCTACAATTAGTTTTCCTGGCACAAAATCATCGTCAAAAGCTACACTACCGGTATTCATGCTGAACTACCGTATTCAGCCAACAAGAATTCTCGTTCATTGCTTCTTGCAAGCCGGTGCTCTCTGTCAACACAACAGTGGGTGGTGGTGGGCACCTCTACTAGTACTGTATTATAACAACAACATGCATGATGGGTCTATCCTCTTGTCAGTGAGTGGTTGCCGTCAGAAGCCAGGGCAGAAAAAGCGCAGGAGCCCCATCCAGTGTGATGAGCAGCTGTGTGATGTGGCCAATGCACGTGTCCCGGAACCTGAAGTTAAAAAATGCTAACCAGTGGGAGCTCCAGTGAATCATAGATTTAAAGATGTTCTGGAAACTTTAACTCTTGGTGAGCAACCATAGAGCTCATAATGTCCCGAGAGCACTGGTTCTCCTCCTGCGCCACGTGGTTGCTACAAACTGCAATGAGATTGCGCGTGCTTCCTCACAAGCTGTCTGCTTCCATGCCGCAGTCCACTGTTGCACTAAGTCTTCATCAGAACCCACCTCTGCATGTCTGCAGCTTCCTCAAGCTGTCTTTTCGACAAGCCCAACACCAACTCAACCATTGGCACTTATTGGGAGCATGAAGGAGAAGCTTGCTGAATGTGGCTGTTGTAGCCAGAGTTGAAAGGGTGGACTGAAAAAATTTAGCTTATGGAAAGCTCCAATGGCAAAAACATGTAGGAGTACGTTCTGACAGCGGGAGTCCTCAAGGCGTCATGTCCAGAAGCCAAAGTGCAAGAGAGTGTGCCACAAAGACTGGCATGTGGCAGGGGCAGTTATAGCTGCTTCATCCATCTGTTGTTGCCACATGCCCAAGAAACCATCACACACAGTTGCCGACAACAGTAACAGTTACTCAAACAGCTCTCAAACACAGAGAGCTCACACAGACACTTACTTATTGGCACCATGAAAGAGAATCCCTTCAGAGAAGAGTGAGGAGTGTCCTGCAACCTCGGGAGTCCTCGAATGTCTTGGGCAGAAGTTTCAGTGACTTTCAGAGCTCTGCAGAAAGTTGAATGAAGAAAATTAGACTCTAGCTTGATAGTTAATTATGGTTACGAACGACCAATGTGGCTTTGACAAAAGGGGAAAAGAAGCTGGGTGCTTCTGACCATCTGTTTGTGGTCTTGCTTGCTGTGCGGGTCACCCCATGGGACGTTACCAGAGAGGCACCAAACACAGTTTGGCCCAAAGTCATCCCGCGCTCTCAGCCAATCATTCTTCCAAACCACGCTAGATTTCCACGTCGGAACACGTGGAAAAGAGACAACACGCTAACTCGGCACCTACAACGTAGTACACAGCCTACGGCCCAACGCCAGCCAATGCACCAAACACAGTTTGGCATCAAGCATACCAAAAGATATGTTCTTCGCCTGATGGATCCTTTGCCGAAGGCGCTGTGTTGCTTTGGTACAAAGGGTACCTGGTACAGACGTTACGGCGAGCCATAGGCTTCTGCATCTCTGGCTGGTCTTGGACGCACCAGTTCTGCAATTCGATCGGCTCATAAATTTGGTTCAGCCCAGCCAAAAAGGTAAAAACGAGTCGCGTCAGGAACCAGTAGCAGATTTGCGCAAGTGATTTGGGATCCATGACAATGATTGATTTTTGTTCTTCCTCTGACTTCCTGTTGCGTCTCTCGTCACACTGCAGTCGTACTGGTCGAGTGTCATCGGTTGGTCGGTTTGTCAGAGTTGAGTGAGTCAAGTCCAGTCGAGTGTGTGTTGGGAGCAACAGCTTTGGGTGTGATTGCCATTCTAAAATCGGAACGCCTCTGACCTTTTCTTCTCTCTGTCTATCAGGTGCCCAGCGGTCGGTCAGTCGAGTAAGGCTTTTCCCTCTGTAGCGGTGGATCGGAACGTTGCCTTTTGATCGATATGATTTTTTGTTCTTCTGACGTTTGCGTCTCTCTCTTCTCTGCTCTACTGTACCCTCAAGGAATCGAAGCGTGAGTTCTCAGGCAACGCTGCATTGTGCGAGTTGTGTCTCTCTTGACTCTGTGGACAATCGGAACGCCTCTGACTTTTTGTTCTCTCTGCCTATCAGGTGCCCAGCGGTCGGTCGGTGTTCGGTGGCTTGCCTATCGGTAGCCTGTCGGTAGCCTGTTGGTAGCCTCGGTTCGTACCGGTACGGTGGATCTCTGGTGTTGTACCCGAAGGCTGCATTGTGCGAGTGCCATTTTAAAATCGGAACGCCTCTGACTTTTTGTTCTCTCTGCCTATTAGCGGTCGGTCGGTCGGGTTGTCGTTGCAAGAGTCGAATGGAGTTGCTGTGGCGCGGCTACCTTCAGTGGATCGGTCGATTATCCTTGGTGAGGAGCGTGGTCGGTCGCGTAGTATTGTCGGTTGCGTCCCAAGGAGTTCTCATCAAGCAGTGGTCTGAACACAACAAGTTTCGTCGCGGTGTGAGCTGTGGGTGTTGTCATTGCAACAATCGATCGGAACGTGGTTAGTCGAGTAGCCTTAGATCGGAACATTGGAAACCAAGTCAAGTCCAGCTGAGAGAAGTAGCAGCTTTGTGTGAGTGCCTTGATGGCTTCCGTTGGCACATGCTTTTTGCTTACGATTTTGGATTGATCTCGACTGTTCTTCCTCTGACTTTTGTGTCTCTCTCGACTTTTCCGATCCCTCAAGCGTCGACTCAAGTCAAGTCAGTCAATTGTCGTCGCCCATCCCAAGCAGCGGAGTCGATTGTCAGCAGTCAGCAGTGTGCCCCCCAAGCAGTCGGTCCTTTAGAGTCAAGAGTCGAGTGCAACCATGGACAACAACCGTCCTCCCATCGATGACGATGACGATGCTTATGATTGGTGGAATGAATGGAACGCCGTTCCCATCTTGGGATTGGGACAATCACAAGACTTGATGCCTCAGTGGCTCTACGATCGCTTTCTTATTTGGGATTTAGAAGACTCGGGCAATGAAAGACCTGAAAGACGCTCTGTGCTCACTCCAGAACTCCGAGATGATGTATATGAGCTGCTTGAGGCAAAAGCCAACAAGCATGTAGATCCCGACCAGTTCCAGCAACTGAAGAATGCATTTGATTTCAAGCACCAGGGCAAGCCCAGCGCCAAAGATGTTTTTGAGCGGTACACAATCATAACGGCCGACAATTTCGAACAGCTGATCCCCAAGAATCTTGAGTATTTGAAGCCGGAGCACTATTTCTTCCTTTCCTTCCTTTGGGATGAGTGCCGGATTGCATTGGTTGACAGCAACAAGATTGCTATACCGCTCCACCACTATTACACATTCACACGGTGGGTCTCCTCCATCAATGATTGTTCAGATCAGAAAACACTGAAGATACTCTTGAAACATTTCCATGTGAATGCTAGGCTGGCGCTCACGTATTCACATGTTCGCCAGCACCAAAAGAACCATCCGCATGTCCAACAACGTCCCCTGCCACGCAGCTGGACCCTTCGAGCACCAAGGCGTGCCCAGCGACCACCACGACCCCACCAGCCCGCCATGACCACTCAAGGCCACACCACAGCAACTGTACAGCGACAACTGAACCCTACCTATGGAACACTGGTAAGTTTCATACTTGTATCTTCTGGCCACAGCCATTGTCTCTTTCCTATTCTCATTCCAGTGCCCCCACCAACTTGAACCAGCCTTCCACTGGTACTCCAGGCATGGGAACCATGAAACCACCACCTCCAAGTCCGAGTCCAACTCCAGTAAGTCGGCCGTTGTGTTTCCATAGCCAATGCCCATTCGCCACCTGTCCTTTCTAACCACTAGTCACTTCCATGGATATTCACAACAGTGGCAGCCACCACCAGCTGGTCCCATGCCAACTGCACCACGCCCTCCTGCCTATGGATATGGCAGTACTGCTCCTGCTGGATTATTGGAAGGGCCACCCATGCCGCCCCCACACGGAAGTCAACTAGCGCTGCCTGTAAGTAGCCATGGTTCTGCTGACTGTCTTGTGTTCTTGGTATGGAGTCCAGCTTAGAACTCATGATATTCATTTGTTTTCCATCCATTGTGCAAACACAGGGGCAGCAGCCACATGGTGCCATGACACCTTGGCCTGGTCCATATCCTCCTTATGGATATGGATGGCAACAACCGGCTCCAGCCAAAGTGGTTCACAACCACATTACCATCAGTGGAAGTGACAACACCCTTATGCTTGGTGACGATGTCAAGAAGTCCCCTTCCAAGACAGCCGACGCCCTGCAAGCCTCATTGGACCAGTTTCGACAACAAGTTGATGAGGATGCCAAGCGCCTTGAGAGCACTATCAAACGAGAAGGCCAACAAACGCGTTCGACTGTCCATACTCTGACAGCGGCGCGCCCTCCCATGCCAGTTGCCGTTCGACATGAGCACGAACAAGCGGCAGCGACCTCAGGAACGGTTCTGCAGTTTGATGAAGCAGAAGCTGTCGCTCCCAGAACCCCTGCGCTTCGAAGCAGCACACCATGCTTCTCTGTCGGAAGGCGACAGCAGCGTCCTTCTGTTTCCTTTGCTGACCCAGAAAATGCAGCACCCCCCACTGACAGCACACAGCAGACCCCAGTGACCGTTTCTGTGCCAGCTGCGTCCTCACCCACCTCACCTCTGGAAGACTCTGCTGTGGATTCTCCTAGTAGCAGGGAGGATACCACAAGTGTCCCCGGGATGCCACGCACTGTGGGAACGCCCAAGTCTTCAGGATGGCCTTCTCTCGGATTCATGAGCCGACCCTTCAGTGGTTCCAAGAAGAAGAAGGCAGTAATGTTGGAGCAGCCCATGGAAAACGTCACCGTCGAACCGGTTGTCGAAACTGTTCACGAAGAGTCGGATGTGGATTCCATCCAGGTCCGTTCCCCTACAGCTGTCTTATTCAGTGGGGCTCCAAATCTAGCGGTAGTATCACATGATAGTTCGGACCCTTCTCCCAGCAGTCAAGGAAGTCAAGGCACCGCATTCTTCGATGCGGAGCCAGGTCTAGAACTTGATGGTGTCTCATTGGCATCTGCATCCAATGCCCCAGCCAGCTCTGATCCTGAGGGGAAAGTCTTTACAGCAACCAAGAACAACAAGCCAGCTGCTACCACTACTAGTGATGGCTATGGAGCCGATGTGTCCACAGATGATGAAGAGAGCTCCGACGACCTCACTGATGAAGACAGCACCGACGATGACGATGATCCAGACCCTGATAGCAGTCCCGAGGCAGCAATGGCAAGTCCCAAGCCCACCATCCAAGAGACCCCTGAAGAGACTCAATGGGATGAAGACTTCGCCTTGGGTCAAGAAAAGCATGTGCTTGAGCAGGGATGGATAGGAGAAGCACCAACAGCAGCAGCAGCACGTCTTCCTTCCCAGAGCACTGCACCCGAGCCTTCCAAGACTGTATCTAACCAAGTCAAGCTGGACGAGGAATTCGCCGCGTCCTTGCAGGCTGAATTGGATGTGCAGGGTCCACTTAGCTTCCAGTCCGATGATGCTGAAGATGACATCTCTGATGATGGGGGCGGCAAACCCTCAGCGAAGACGAGCCCCACTGAAGTTGCCTTGAAGCCTGCCGGAGTTGAGGCTGATTCCAAGAGCACCAATGATGGTGGTGGCAAGCCGGCAGCAAAGAAGAGCCCAACTGAAGATGCATTGGAGCCTGAAGATGACATCTCTGAGGCTGATTCTGTGGAGCCATTTGCTGATTCTGTGGAGCCAGCTGATGATGACAGTTCCAGTGTTGGCAGCATTGTACATGAAACTGCTACAAAATCATGGTTTGGGTTCAGCATCTTTTCCCCATCGAAGCCGGAGCCAATGTCGAGTGCCGAACTGAAAATGATTGCGGCCAGAGCTGCTGGTAAGTTTCGAAATTCTTGAACCCCATGCATTGTGCCATTCGTATTTAACACGGGTGTGTTGTTTTGTTGTCTTTGTAGAAGCTGATGGTTCCTCAGTGGTCGCAGCCGATCCAGATGAAGACTCCCAGGGAAATATGGAAAAGTCAAATGCTGAAGAGCTTTCCCCAATGCATGGTCCGAGTAAGTTGATTGACTGCTTGACATTGACTTGCTTTGGCTTTGGCATCACTAACATTTCTGTACTATTGCAGAGGTTCGGGCTGGTCCCACCCCTGCACGTATCCGTGCCATGACTCTTCAGGAGATGAAAGCTGCTGGTAAGTTTCCTTGGCTGGTGCTGTTTGCCTTTGCTGCTTTTGGTTGCTGCGTAGCTCATTTTTGCTCCTCTTTGTTGTTGTTTTAGAAGAGAAACTGGAACCAGCTGTAGCCGAGCCAGCTGAAGAAGGATTGCATGCTGCCACCACCGATCCAACTGCAATGACTCTTGAGGAGATGAAGGATGCTGAGCCAATCATTGAAGAAGACGAAGAACGATCACAAGTGGGAACTGAGAGCACAGCCATCGCTAAGGCTGCTGGTAAGTTTTCCTTCTGCTGGTCCTGTTTGCTTTCTGTTGCTTTCTGTTGCTTTCTGTTGCTTCTATTCACAGTGTAGCTCATTTTACTCCTCTTTCTTGCTGTTTTAGAGGAGGAGCTGGAACCAGCGGTAGCCAAGGTGGCTAAACCCAATACCGATTGTTCTGGTCCCAAGAAGAAAACGTCTCCAATGGCCAAGGGTGGTCTCCTTGGCATTGGTGGCAACCCAATCCGAGGCACCAACATTCCCAAAGCAGAGGCCTCCGTGGTGGTCGAAACCGTGGATGAAGAAAGCTCTGAGGGAAGCTATCCCCCAGTCGAAGCCACGGACGGTACCATTGTTCCTGTGACCATTTCAATTGCAGCCACTGACCCTGTTCCCACGGAGACTGCATCCAAGGTCGAGGAAGAAGATGGTGCACCCATTGCCAAGGCTGCTGGTAAGTTTTCCTTTGGCAGTTTTGTTTTCCTTCTGTTGCTTGTATTAAGCACGTGGCTCATTCTGTTCCGCTTTGTTGTCATTCTAGAGGAGGAGCTCGAACCGGAACAAGTTGATGGTGGCTCCGTGGCCGAAGTGGAGACAGATGAAGAGGGCTCGCTCGGAACTGTGGACTCGACTGATGACTCAGATGCTGAGGAGCTGGAACCAGTTGATGGTGGCACCCAGCACTCTGATGGTCGAGCTGGCACTTGGGAATCAGATGGCCTACCTTACTGGGGGTTGACGACTGGTAGAGTGCCGAGGCCATGCAAGTCCTGTCGCGGTCAAGACAAATATTGCCATCGGCATAGAAGCCAGGACCCCAATGTGCCTCCACCTGCATTAGTCGTGCCTCCACCAGTTGTGGATGTGGTGCCTCCGCCGGTAGTGGATGTGGTGCCTCCACCGGTAGTGGATGTGGTGCCTCCACCGGTAGTGGATGTGGTGCCCCCTGTTGAAGAAGATTCCATTGAGGAATCGGAAGAAGATTCCATTGAGGAATCGGTAGCGGATGCCATGCCTCCACCTGTACCAGATGAGGAAGAGGAGGGATTTCGGCGTGTACGACGGAAGCGCCGTTTGGCCAAAGGCAACCAACCGTAACCTAAACTGATACAACTCAGGTAAGTTTTGAATGATGCTTGATGCTTGTTGCTTCCTTTGCTTGTGGAGTTGGCCATACTGATAAACCCTTTGCCTTGTTTCCTTCTCAGGCAGGTGATGATGAGGTCTTGTTCAGTTCTCTCTGGTCTTCGTAGCAAACATAAAACGAATCGTAGTTGCATTTTAATAATACTGGAAACTTGAATGATACTATATGCTCCTCCTACTGTCGTCGACATTGATATCAAAGAGTAGTTCCCCGATGTGGCTGGACCGTGCTCGTTCCAACTAGTTTTATAACCATCTATGTGAACTCTTTTGTTCAAATGATTCTGTAGCTGGCTGCACAAATGCATCATTCCGCGGTGGATAGAGTCCTCATCAACGATCTATGAAAAACCTTCATCAGATTCACCACTTGCTTTCTGGTAATGAGGGCGTCATCAGCATCTAAAGATAATCGAGGCAGATGATGATGAGGAAAACCCTTCAAAGCAACTGTAGCAGCAACGCATGGTGGTCGCGATTTTCAAAGGGTACTTACGTCCGTCGATAGCTGGTCTCTATCTCTAGTTGGTCCGTCGATAGCTGCCAACGCTTAATGTGTTGCCGTGCTTGTCTCCTCTCGTTTCCTCTTTCATCTGTTGACTGTGGCTTGAACCCTTTGATCTTCGTGAGCACCAGATTGCAATGAAGGAGGATTCGTCTCGTGTTGTAGGCTCGTGTTGTAGGCTGAATATGAATAGGCAAACGGATCCAGGTATGGTACCGGAGTCGAGTCGATCTTGGATGCTCCACCAGAATTAATACCCAGCAGAGTTCTTGCGGGAAGCTCGTTGATGGCTGGAAGGCTGGAACATACGATAGAGTCTTGTTCTTGCCATTGGATTGATAGGGATCATTGCACCAGCTGTACCCAAAGTCCTAGAGTTGCGGTTTGGTGGCACGCGATTTGATGACCCCACTGCAAGGGCCTAACTGGACAACGGTTTCAGGTAGGAATACAAAAAATCCTTCTCTCCCCTCTGACTGTCACTTGACTCTCAATAGATCCAGTAAGTAGACTGTTACTCTCCTATTGCAAAGTATGGAAAGGTGGAGTTGAAAGGCAACGTGAGATGGATACACCAGCCAGCTAAACTTTTAAATAGATGTACAGTACAAGAGCACATGTCATCTCTCACCTCCTTTCATCTGTAGTAGTATGGTAGTAGGAAATGAGCGGGGCTTTAGAGTAGTAATAGTCTAGGTGATTCCGCAATGATGCTTGACTCGACTCGTCACTCTCTTCCATGATTCCGTGTAGTGTACTGGTACCGGTAGGTAGTTGGTACCGTGCACTACTTCCTTCTGGGCCTCTGAGAGTTCGAGTTGCACTTGGCTTTTTGGTGGTGATGTAGCCTTTCCATTTTGGCCCGCAAGGTAGCATAATTGTCCCCCAAGGTTGTCATGGATTGCAATGGTGCCACAGTACCATACCAGTACCAGTGTACCAGTCTCCTTTCCTTTGACTGTTATTTCATTCTGTTTGCCGTCATTGGTGATGCTGGCTCCCAGCTCCGGTGCTTGGTTGGCTTCAGTTGTGATTTTGAGTCTAGGAAAGGGCGACTGGGGCGTAGCTTCTTAGATGGCCTTGTTGGGAGAGTTGCTAAGTGGGATCAGCTAGCGTTTATGGTGGATGCACCCTTGACTTGACTCGACTTGCCTCTAGTAGTAGATGGTACCGTCCGGTAGTACGAATAGTAAGTGTGTACCGGTACCATACATAATGGTACCGTAAACGATTTTAGCAAAAGTGACTGAATTTTAAAAGTACTAGCTCTAGTAGTTTACTCTTGATCAGCACAAACTGCCGAATCGCCAAAACACAGGCTTTACTCTGTCCGTAGCAGCGACCGGTAGCGGTGGTATCAGTACGTGTAGGTGGAGGCGTAACCTTGGTCCCTTCAAAAATTAAAAAACATTTACCACGGAGCTCGACACGTTTTTGAATTGTTTTAAAAAACCGCAGCTCCGCTGACGTCATGATGTTCGGAACTTTCTTGTGGGACCTTTTCGGCGAGACTCGCACGACTCGCGTTTCTTTGACTCGTGTGCGAGTCGAGTCAAACTAGTCGAGTCTAATTGCGAGTCTGTGCGATTGGTACAGTAGGATGAGTGAAGACAAAATTTGGGACGGTTTTGTGGGATGGGGGCAAAACTGGAGACCCCGCCGGGGGTCATACCGGTATGGTAGCAGTGCTAGAGCTGCCTAGCTAGCTAGCTAGAAACGGAGGTGATTCTTTCATGAGACTTATTGAAGAACTATGCAGAATTTGGCACAAACACTCAGAGATGAATACCGAGACACAGTACGGCTTTCGTATACCCATATCTCTCCTCATCAAATCACTCGCATTCTCCAGGAGGAATCAAGTTTTGGGCTTGGAACTCCTCCAAGAGAGACAAGACTTCGGCTTTGCTGGATCATGGCTCAATCATGGCTCAATCAAATGGACTCCCACAAGATATTGTCAAGGTTACTAATGGAATCATTTCTAGTTTTATTTGTTGTCCTTTTCCAGAGTTGCGTGTTGGCTGGTTGTGCAATACCACGAGGATGGTATTCACCAATCGTCCTCATCATCAGTGTCCAACACAGCTAGGGCCCAAAAAATCGCATTGTTGTAATCTGAATGTTCCACTACAAATGGACAGCCTTGCTCACGTGCCCAATCCAGTATCGTGGTATTTCCACTTTCATATGCAGCATCACAGGTTCTTGCATCCCATGGACAGCCATGCTCACGAGCCCATTTCAACAGTTCAAAATGACCACCCTTGGCAGCAGCCGAACACGTTGTCTCATCCCATGAGAATCCTTTACCATGAGCCCATTTCATGACTGGAAGGTTCCCAAGCTTGGCAACATGTGAGCAAACTGATTGGATGGGTGGGGTTTGTGCCAATGTAGTAGTTGAACTGTTGTTGTGCCAAAATTCTGCTGTGGACTCATTGTGGAATGCAGCACTGTAGAATGTGACTGTGCTGGTAGCTGCTTCCTTTTTAGTATCAGCACCTTGGGAGATGACTTGAGGAGGCTTATCTACAGCACTACAGCATTCCTTGTAGTGCAGGTTCATTTGCATATTGACAGATCCCACAAAGGCATAGTGTCCCATTCCCAAAAAGGGCAGAATGCCATTGACCCAAACATCCTTCTGATCGAGCAAAGCACCGGCGGGAGCCATGGTTGTCTTTGATTCCGATGTCATGATTAAATAATGTATTTGGTCTGTGTTCAGTAGCTTGCAAACTCGTTCTGATTGTGGGTGCAAGGAAATTATGGCCGCAACGAACAACAACAGCCTCCGAGATGTGGAGGTGCAAGATTTTCGAAACGACCACGGTGAGGATCGTTTTCTCGAAACGACCACGGTGAGGATCGTTTCCACGAAACCATCCCACGATGAGGCTCGTTTCCAGCGTTGGAGATCCAGACCAGTCACGGCTGTCGATCTTTAGTCGAGGGAGTCGAATCGTTCTCACGATCTTTCGCATCATTGGTTTTGGTGGTGTTGGCGGGTGCGGTACCGTATCGTAGAGCACACAGCGGCGCCACGATCATCGACCACTTTCATTGCTCTGCACTGGTATTACTGTATTGGTGCGGATCCTAGCAGAAGGTTTTCCATATCCAGCAACATAGAAACCAAGTGCTCTATTTCAGGTGCTACCGGTATTATCTTGCTAGCATTGATTTCCACTGTCATTAATCTTTTGGTCATTGGGAAGATACCCAAAAAACTCTGGAAGTATTTTGTAAGAAACAACGCTATCGACAATGGCCAAGTACGCTTACGCTCCCCTTTCCATTGTAAGTCCTGTGTCTTTTCTTTGGGTGTCTTTTGGGTGTCATTTTTATGGGGTATAATGGATACCCCAGTTAATACATGCATTGGTCATACTAATATCTTGTCATTTTTTGTTTGTTTGTGATACTACAATTAATCAGGACGACAACCGCAAAGGTGGCGGTGGTGGCTATTTGAACACGCCTCAAGCATCCAGTGGTGATAATCAAGATGGCTTGGTTCACGAACGAATGCCCATGTGTGTGGGATTTTGTGTCCTGTTGGCCATTGTCTTTGTGCTGAGTCGGACGGGAGATTCCGAGGCCATTTACAATTCTCACAGCAGTCAAATGAGGACCAGTAGTAATACACAACAAACCATGAGTCCCACGGAGATGGGCAAGAAATGGATTCCGGAAGAAAAGGAAATGATGGAAAAGAAACCCGAAAAAACAGGGAATGTGTGGCCGAGACCTAATACCGAGCCTGCTAGTTCCACTACCAGCGACGAAACCAGCACAGGAGCAACAACAACTACCACCGCTACTTCTTCTACTAGTAGTACCAGCTCTACCCCCGAATTGCACTGTCCCGAACCCCCACCTTGTCCTGCTACGAAAGGTGATCTCGATCTCAACAATCCTCAGCAGGCCAATGACATTATGGCACAATTGCGATCCAAAGCACTCGAGTCCAGTCCACCTCACATTATCGAATGCGCTGCCGCCGAGGCGGGAGAATCGCAAGCGGCATGCCACTTGCCGGCTGCCAAACGATTCGCGGCGTTGGGACAAAAGGGTGCCACGCTGTGGATGACCGGTTGCAGTGGCGCCGGGAAAACCACCATTGCCACGGCATTGGAAGAAAAACTCATCACCCTCTATGGCAAACACGTCTATCGTCTGGATGGCGATAATCTACGCACCGGCCTCAACCGTGATTTGGGATTCAGTGAAGCCGATCGGGCCGAATCCGTCCGGCGAACGGGCGAATTGGCCACTCTCTTTAGTGATGCTGGCATTATTACCTTGGTGGGTCTCATTAGTCCCTATCGAGCCGATCGGGATGCCGTCCGGAAACGACATGAAGATCAGGGAATTCCCTTTTACGAAATCTTTTTGGATGTCCCCGTCGAGGAACTCAAAAATCGTGATCCCAAGGGACAGTATGCCAAGGTGGCGTCGGGTGAACTCAAGCACTTTACCTGTATCGATGACCCCTACGAGGAACCACTGCATCCCGAAATCACGCTCAAGACACATGAACTGGAGATTGAACAATCGTCCAATATACTCTTTCGCCAGTTGGAACAAGACGGAATCCTACAGGGAGCTCCCAAGGTCCTGCCCGAGTCGGTGCTGCCCAATCCGGATGGAGAAGAAATTGTTGATTTGCACGTCCCCGAAAGCCTCAAGGCGGAACGCACGGCCGAAGCCAAGACTCTTCCCCCCGTTCTCCTTCATGACATTGATTTGAATTGGCTGCAAACCATTGGAGAAGGATGGGCAGCACCCCTCAAAGGATTCATGAGAGAGGGAGCCCTGTTGGAAACTTTGCATTTCAATTCCATTCTGACGGATCCTTTTAACCTTACCGGCAATGTGGATCGACTCAACAGTCAAACGGACTTTGCTCATTTCTCCGAACATCCCGCCCCCGATCGAGTCAGTATGTCCTTGCCCATTACTCTGTCTTGTACTTCCTTTACCAAGGATTTGATTGAGAAGAGCGACAAGAAGGCTGTGGCATTGGTGACACAAATGGGAAAGACCGTGGCCATTCTTCGCAATCCCGAAGTCTACAACAATCGCAAGGAAGAAATTGTGACGCGCATGTACGGTGTCATTGATATGGATCATCCTTACATCAAGCACATTTACGGCGGCGGTGACTATTTGATTGGAGGAGAAGTGGAACTGCTGGAACGAATCCAATACAATGATGGTTTGGACAAATGGCGCAAAACTACCACCGAGTTGTACCAGGAATTCCACCAAAAGGGAGCCGACACCGTTTACGCCTTTCAAACAAGGAACCCCACCCATGCTGGCCATGCTTATCTGATGCGCAGTGCCGGAGAGGATCTCAAAAAGCAGGGATACCAGAAACCTGTCTTGTGGTTGAGTCCATTGGGAGGTTGGACCAAGGAAGATGATGTGCCGTTGGATGTGCGTGTCACGCAGCATGAACATGTATTGGATGCCGGGTAAGTCTTCGGTCGCAATGTTGTTTCATGCAGGCCAGAGACCGAAGTACTGTGCGGATGGGGTTTTGGCTTCTTGTTTTTTGTGGTTGCTCCTCTCATTGTAACTCTTTTGCTTTCCTCTGCTTTCCAGCACTTCTCATCCTGGTGGTTTGGACCCCGAAACAACTGTCATGGCGATTTGGCCTGCTCCTATGGTGTACGCGGGCCCAACTGAAGTACAATTCCATGCCAAGTCACGCCGCAACGCTGGTGCCTCATACTTTGTGGTTGGACGTGACCCTGCCGGAATGAAAGGAAGTCCGAATGCCGTTGCCCACCCTGACGATGACTTGTATGACGGAGATCACGGTCGCTATGTCCTCCAGAATGCTCCCGGTATTGCTGGTGAAATGAACATGTTGAGTTTCGTTAAGGTCATGTACGATATCACCGACAATGTCATGAAGGTGCCTGATCCCGACCGACCGGACGACTTCATCAGCATTTCTGGAACCAAAATGCGTTTGTTGGCACGCAATGGGGCTACCCTTTGCAGCCCCACCAATATCCCCACGGATCTCGTTGAAGCCAATTGCATTCCCAGTGGATTCATGGTGCCCAAGGGTTGGGACCAAGTAGTAGACTACTACAAACACGCAGACGAAAAGCGCTGGATTCCCTGGTCTCAGCCCAACATCGAACCACCCGAGGCTCGCAATACCAAGTCGGAAGGCAAACTAGGCCGGGGATCCTACGAACTCCGATCGTCCAAATACGAAAGTTGGTGGCACGATATTCCCTGGAAACCGACCAACCCGGAAGAACCCAATATCATCCACTTCATTACCGAAATCCCCATGCACATGGCTGCCAAGATGGAAGTGCAGAAGGCTGGCAAGAACAATTGCATTGCCCAAGACACCAACTCTGATGGCTCCCCGCGATACTATTCCTACGGTACACCCTTTTTCAACTATGGATTTGTCCCCCAGACCTGGGAAGATCCCAACCTCAAGTCAGCTCAAGGATACGGCGGTGACAACGATCCCGTTGATATCATGGAGTTTGGTTCGATTCCTCTTCGTATGGGAAGCTTGCGACGTTGCCGTGTTCTTGGCAGTCTCGAACTGATTGATGAAGGAGAAACGGATCACAAGATTATCTGTATTGCTCTTCACGAAAGCGACGATGTGGAAGCGCAAGAAGCCGCCAACGTTCATTCCTTGGAAGATCTGGAAAAGTGGAAGCCCGGTGTCATGGATCGTCTTCGTGATTGGTTGAAGCGTTACAAGACAAGCGATGGAAAAGCCGAGAATAACTTGGCCTCGGACATTCCAAGAACTATCGATGAAGCCATGGCAGTGGTGGAGGAGACGCATAATCATTGGAAGAGCTTGTGTGGGCATGATGGCAGTGACCTGTCGCAATGGTCAGGTAAGATCGATGGATTTTGGTTGGACAGCCCAGGATGCCGTGGGCAGTAAGTTAAAGGAAAGAAAGCAAGGTGTGTGATGAAGAGAAACAGAGGTTCGCACTGTTAGAAAACAACTTCTAGATTTGGGTATCATTCTTGTAGATACCGGTACCAGTAGTCGCTATACCAGTAGGAAGCTGTGAAGACAGTTTCTCATCGTCACCTCACGGTGGCTCTCGAAGCATGCGCTGTGTACAGCTGTTCAGTTCTACTTTGTCCCTGGCATTTATTTTCTGCCTAAAATGGTCCTTTAGTCTTGCCTGCCTCTGAATCTGCCAGAGCCTCCCCTGGTAGCTTTTACTTGGGGCTGCCAGCAACGAATACTCGAAAAAGAGGCAGTGGCATAGCTATGGGATTTTAAAGCAATGACGGCCCTCACGTTGGTCCCCAGTTTGTGGCCCCTGGTGCAGACCCTACTCGATGCGGCATCCTTCAACTGAATACCTATCGCTCGTGCACACAGTACCGGTACATACAAAACCAACTCGTACGCCATGCCGTAACTCGGCTCGACAACATAAAGAACACGGCTACTATAGTAGTTTGATTTTTGGAGATTTTTGAAAGGTCTAAGCCCCAATAGATTCTGGTTTGAGTGCTGCCGCTTCGTCCCACAAGTTTTGGAACAAGGCGGTGGACAAGTAACGTTCTCCAAAACTGGGAATAATGACAACGATTCGCTTTCCGGCATTTTCGGGACGCTTGGCGACTTGGCAGGCAGCCAAGATGGCAGCACCACTGGAAATTCCACAAAAGATACCTTCGGACGTGGCGACAGTTCGTGCTTGTGCCATGGCATCTTCTCCCGAGATTTGAATGACTTCATCGAGCAAGCTGGTATCGGCATTCCCGGGGATGAATCCGGCTCCAATGCCTTGAATTTTGTGTGGTCCTGGTTTTCCTCCACTGAGTACGGCCGATTCGACGGGTTCGACGGCGACAATTTGGAGCGCGGGATTGAGAGGCTTGAGGTATTGTCCGCATCCAGTGAGGGTTCCTCCCGTTCCGACACCGCCCACGAGGATATCAATCTTTCCGTCAGTATCACGCCAGATTTCGGGTCCAGTGGTTTCGCGGTGGACCTATATATATATATATATATCCGTCGAGAAAGATTACAATGCAATGCAAAAAGAACACAAACAAAAGCAAACCAAACAAGATTGGAAATAGGGGAAAACGGAGTTAGAAACAAGTTCCATTCACACAAATGTTTCAGCTCGGTAGTTTTTACAAAATTGGCTGAATATCCATCCTACCTTTGGGTTGTCAGGGTTGTTGAACTGCTGCAAGAGCATGCCATCGGCACCCAAGGAGTTGACAATTTCTTCCGCTTTGGCAATGGCTCCTAAAAAAAGAAATGGATAGAGGAGAAAAAGATTGAGCCAAAAATGAGAGCAGCCTTCAGAGCAAGAACCACCAAACTCGAAAACTTAAAAAATCGGATGATGTTTTGTGGCTGTCCAAAAACAAAACTCACCTCCCATTCCCTTGGCAGCTGGTGTCAATACGACATCGGCTCCAAACGCCTTGAGCAAGACACGTCGTTCCATACTCATGGACTCGGGCATGGTCAAAATGAGTTTGTATCCCAGAGTGGCAGCGACCATGGCCAATCCAATTCCCGTGTTTCCAGAGGTTGGTTCTACCAAGGTGGTCTTGCCGGGAGCAATGTCGCCACGGGCTTCGGCTTGACGAATCATACTCAAGGCGATACGGTCCTTGACACTGTTGGCAGGATTGCTAGATTCCAATTTGGCCACGACTTCGGCGACGCATCCTTCCGACACTCGATTGATTCGGACCAGTGGCGTGTTGCCAATCAAATCCAACACCGAATTGGCAATCTTGGGACGTTCGGAATTCAGGGACGTCTTGGAGCCACAGCCAAAGATGCGACGAAACGGATTGGCATCCACCACAAAGGCAGATGTATAGGAAATGATGGCCACGCTGGCCACGAAAAGGCGTTGTTTGATCATCATGGTCAAGTAATTAAAAGTCGGTCACTGCGGGTAATAGATACTGGTGCCGATCCTTGAATTATGTCCAACTGTCGAAGCAGAACCCTCTCAAGCCGATCGATGTGTGGTGCCCGAGCAGTTTTTCTGTTTTGACTCGAGGTCCAAAGATCGCAAAGATCGCAAGATCCAAAGAGTGACGTTTGGGCTGCCTTTGACACCCGTACCCACCGCTTCGGTACAGTACTAGCCAGCGAGAGCTGCGAGAATATTCAGAATGCCGAAGACCTGAGCTATTCATGTCTATTATTTTTGCTTCTGATGAGTGTTCTGGCTAGCTAGCTAGATGACAGTGTTGGCTTTCCACAGGTACCAGGTACCAAAACATTGGCGGCTCCATGACAGGCACCTTCCCGCGTGTAGTAAGGCAGGTTAGCTATTCATTAACAAAGATTCCAATGGCAATCGGCATTTCGAGACATCACCAAGACATGCATTTAGAATCCCTATGCAGCATCTTCCAATCTGGACCCGTCATTTATTTGCTCTCCGTTCCAGTAGCAGGCGTCCCTACAAGTCTAGCTAGCCGCCTGATGTTTTGTCGCTGTAGATGTGCAACGTACAACGAACCCGCTGCTAGCTAGTAGCCCCTCTACCTTTGCCCCCTGACGGCTTCCGTAGAAGGTTCCCCAATTTAGAGCTGGAGACCCGCAGCGGCTATCTCGTTGGTCTTGCTGGTTTTCGTGATGCCCAGGAAGCTGAAAGGAGTTCCTGCGAACGATGGTAGACTACTCGACTCCCACGGGTGTCCATCCCAAGGAAGTCCAGCGGGAGTTCCGGAACGTTCGCTCGACTGCCCAGACTCGACTCACAACAGCTCTCACAACTCGGAAAGCTTGAATGCCCTAGCTAGGGAAGTGGGGGAAACGACATTTGTTTTTCCCGCTTTCTGGACCAGCAAATGGTTGTTTCCCCACTTCCCAGAAATCAAGTGCAGTACCGTAAAACCGTAAAACAACACCGACAAGCACTTGCTGGTAACCACTTGCTGGTTGTTTTGTATCTGTGCATGAAACCTACCGTACGTAGGTACTTCAAGCTTCCAGTAGCATCCTACATCGTAGCAAGGAACCTGCCAGTCTAACTAATAGCTAGCTAGCTTGGGCCTCTCTTATAAAAAATAATCATGATCGAATCAACTACCTCTTCCAACACTTGCAGCAACAGTCCTCGTCCTTCATCTCTATTGATGGATTACTCGAAATGCTTGAGCCCTTGCGTCCAAAGCGACGGAAAGCGCAGCTCAGATGATGCGCCGTTGCACCACCGGCGACCATTGCCCCCGGTGGTCTTTTTAGAGGACAACGACAGCAACTCGACTGCCAGTGCGAGTAACAGCGACAACAGCCATGACAACAACGGCAGCAAGAACGCACCTGTGACTTTCCAGCTCCGTCGAAGGTTGTTGCTCCGGGACAACTTCTCTTGCAATCATTAGGAGCATCCAGCCAGCGATCCGCTACGAAAGGACCAAGTAGGAAGTAGCAACCCCCCTCTCTCAGTAGCTCAAGCGCACATCCCAGAGACTCCCCCGCAGGATCCGGAGACGATGAGTCGAGTCGAAGCTACTGCACTCAGCTACGTTTCATTTTTTCTCTGCTTTATCCCGAAATCAAGTCCTCTGGTGCAGCCACCTTTGGTGATAGCGAGAACGGTGCACTGATGCACTCAAAGCTGGTACTACAGCGTAACTTGTACTAGCTACTAAGCTAGCTCTGGCTATCCAACAATTCAATAGCTTTGAACCCCAGTTTGTAGCGACGGAAACTAGTCCTGAATTTCGCCTTCTATTTCCCTAAGCCTGGCCCTCCACCTGCTTCCGTAGATAACCTCCCTGCTACTCTAGCTAGCTACCAGTGGCTCTACCTGTACCTGTAGCGCTACAGGGCATTGTAGCTAGCTAGAGTGGAGCTCTGACACAAGATAGTACTGTACTGAGTATGCTGGAAGCCAACATTCGCTTTTCCCCACTCTTACTCTCTGAACCCCCGTTGACCTGCAAGGTCAGGAAAAGGGGCTCAAAGCATTAGTTTCATGGAAATGATAGTTTCACGGAAATATCAGTTTCACGGTTTTGAGTTAGCTTCACGGAATTTCAGTGCAACTATGATAGTTAGTTTCACGGTTTTGAGTTATTTTCACGTTTGCAGTCGTGTTTACGTTGATTTACTATCACAGCACTGTATCTAGTTTCACCGAAATCAGATTAGTTTCACCGAAATTTCCGTGAAACTAATAGTTTCACGGGAATCGAGTTAGTTTCACGGAAAGGGTTAGTTTCACAGAAATGGAGCCATTTCCGTGAAACTAACATCAGTTTCACGGAAACAGTCCCGTTTCGTGACCTTGCTGGACTGGAAACATACATTTCCCCCAGCTCGTGATTCGAATGTGGCGTGAGTTAACCCGCCAAGAGCACCTTCGCCAACAACAAGCAGCCTCACAAAATTGCTCTAAATCCAACTTTTTCTGCCAAGATATTTTGGCTTCGGTGGTGGCATTTATTCTGAGGTCTGATCCCAGAAGCTTCCCCTTGTCCTCGCCCTTTGTTAGGACCTGAATTGTGCAAGCCCCATTTATTTTTTCTGTGGTCCTTCAAGATGGCGGAAGCGGAGATCGTTGTGAGTCCTGTCCCTGCGACGCAGCAGGATCAGCAATACCAGCAATTCCTCCAGTGGCAGCAGCAGCAACAAATGCAACAACAAATGCAGAGTCAGCAATACCAACAGTTTCTTCAGTGGCAGCAGATGCAGCAATCGCAGCAGGGTAATCAGCAGCAGTTTCTTCAGTGGCAGCAGATGCAGCAATCGCAGCAAGATGCTCAGTCCATCTTGGAAAGCCAACCTGAGGAGACCAAGCCTGAAGCTACTACTACCTCTGCAGCTGCTGCTGCCCCAGCCCCTGCTCCTGCAGCAACTTCTACCACGAGTAAGCGATCCGGCTGTTGCTCTTGTGGTGTGATGGATAGCATGAGTGGTGCTACCTCGACCTTGAACACGATCAACAACAAACACAAAAAGGCGACTACCCAATACAGCAACTTGAAATCCGCTTGGGAAACCACGTCCTCCAACGTGAGCAGTGTTTCATCCCAGCTGGGACAGCTAGGCAGTACCCTTGGATCTTGTGGAGCTGCCTTGTCGAAGATTGGTTAGAGACAACAATTATTGCAGACTCAGCTGTTGTTTGACACTGGAAATTGATGAATGAAACCTTGTTTGATGAAGAATGTTCAAAAAGTGTTCATGTGAATATGTGCGTGTGCCTCAAACACAACGGAAAGTAATGATGCTTTCCTGGACAGGTATCAGTACCTTCGTCGCTCTATTGCAGGATTTGATTCTAAGCATAGTAGCAAAGTGTTCTTAGTAGCGTGTCACTGCTTGCGGTGATGCCAAATCACAGAGCGGCCTGGGCGCGGTGGGAGTGGTCGTAGAATTGACATCATTTCAAGCTACTGGCCGTTCTATAAGGCTGTTTCAAAAAGTAGTCCCACTATTCAAGGATCTACGGCAACTAACTGTGTGCTCCTGTACATTGGCGGTCGATTCAATCGCCAAGGAAGCAGGAACAGCATACGAGAAGGCAATGTGTGCAGAGTACAGACCGGCAAAGGTAGATTGGAATATGGCTTGTTTCGTTTCAAGCAGTAGGACCTAGAGTAGTCATCCCAAAAGACAATCTGCGTCGCATTCGACCAAACCTTGATTGACCCCGATCGCCACTATCGAGGTTGATGGAGCAGTCCGATAGTTCTTCATCTTTCGCTTCCTTCTGCGGTACCATGGCATTCACAAGATTCCAGTCCACTGTGAGTTTCCCATCTCTATCCTTAGCCAATGGATTCTCAAAAATATAGCCGACTTTGGCCAAATTAAGATCGTAGACATGCAGCTTATACACCGAGCTGCCCGATGCGACTGCGGTTCCAGACATGGTAACAATGAGTTGCGTGACCTCTAAGCAGCTCTTGATCACATCTGCGTTGCACATTGAGGCCGGCCAGAAACCGTCGTTGAGTCGGATCAAACTCCTTGCATCCGCATTCAACAGTGGAGATTTCTCATTCAAGATGTGACGAACGTTCCAGACTCTCTTGAAGAATGGGTGACTGTCAGTTTCCATCACTACTTTCGAAAACACACGACGTGGCCCCCCATCACCCTCCGATGGTTCTTCATCTACAAAAATGGTCTTCGACCGGTCCACAAACGGATCGTGTTTCTTCTTCTTCTTGCCAGACTTCTTGTCAGATTTCTTGTCAGATTTCTTGTCAGATTTCTTGCCGGACTTCTTGCTTTTATCTGGTGCTTTTTCTTCCGCAACGGAGGGTTCTGCCAACTCGACCGAGTACTCTTCGCAGAGAAGGTCCCCAAAGTCTACGTTTCCAAAGCCACCGTCTCCGAACTCGAAACCAGATTCGCTTTCGTCGTCGTCGTCTTCTTCTTTGAATGGCTCTCCTTCGCTATCGTCGCTATCACTAGTGCGGAAGCCTCGGCCACTCAAAGCTGCGAAGTCTGTCAGCTTGCGATTCACCTTTTGAATGAGGGATCCACTTCTGCTGATCTTCCCGCTAGTGCTTACTTTTGCCGCTTTCTTTGCTTTCTTTGCTTTTTCTTTGAGGCTCTGTAATATTTTCATCCCCTTCACCGCTTGCTTCGAAGGGAGGGCGGTGTCCATGAAACTTGACCGCGAAGTGATGCAATCTTGTTTGGTGACTTCTTCCAAGGAGCTCGCCACAACATTGAGCTTGCAGTTCATGACCTCTCCACCCGTCTCTCCATGGAGTAGATTGACAATACGAACTTCAACACCAAGACCAAGGCAAAAAAGAGCATAAGCAACAGGGAAACAGTATCATTACCATCCACAGTTTCTGGGAAAGACCTACATTCCAGGATGGGAGCCGGGTACTTCGTGATTTGCTTCTTCTTGAACAAATCAATCGCAAGATCTCCTCTGGTTGAATCCCTTAGAAGTGGGTTGTGTTTGGAAGAATTTCGCAGCGAATCCTGGAGCAACTCGTGGCCAAAGCGGATAACCACGTTTTCACTGAAAGCGACGTGTGCGATCGATTGTGTTTTGGCTATCTTCGCGAAGAGGATAGCACTACAAAACGAAGCGGAGAGCACTCCCACAAATGACTGCCATGAGGTCAACATTGTGACAAAAACGCAGTGTGTGCTGGTTCCTGACCCGTGGATTTGTGGGTGTATATGTCCATACCCCTGGACCAACGTAACGCATGGCAGAACAATCATAACATGTCAACACAAATTTCATTGCAGGCGCATGCCATCACAAGCGACATGGAGATGCGAGTCACTTACCACAGTAGAAAATGTGGTCCAGCTGAGCGTGAAGGCGTCCACGAACCCCATCTGTCCTTCTTCAAATGTCAGTCCACCGGCGCCGACGATACATTCTGGGTTTAACCTGCCCAGTATGTAGTAACAAATCGAAAAAGACCAACATATTACGAGATAGATGACGGATTCGGTGAACAAAACCCAGAGGAAGCTCTTTCGCAAGCACCAGTACAGATACTCTCTCAAAAGGTGGAAATGCTCCTTGAAAAAGCTATTGTCGTCCTGTTTTCACGAGAAGTTTCGGCTTGCATCAGACATCGTCTTCGAAGCGTTGTCCGTGCTAGCGCCGAAACAGTCTTACCTTTGCAATCATGGAACTCAAACGATATTGTACGGGAGGAGACTCTTCTTGGTCCTGCATCCCCGAGCTTTTCTGAATTCCGCTCATCGAGGCTCTCTTTCCTATTTGTTTGTTGAAGGCGAGACCATTGTTTTCGTCCACTTCTGCCCCCAGCGCTTCAGCCTGCTTTCGATAGAAGAGTTTCTTTCGTCGTTGCCTGGGATCCATGGGTGTGAAGTACTCCGGGTCTACCACTTTTTGAGCCGTGAATTCTCGTGTGGACTTGACACCAGTTTCCATGTCAATTTGTCGACTTGAGCGCACTCGATGCTTAAAGTTGATGTTGTCCCTTCCAGTAATGTTATTTCGGACTGATTTGCTGACTTCCTTAAAGGCCAGAAGTGCCCTTACGCGGTTGCCAGAAGGTAGTTTATTGCTTTCCAACAAAAGCTTTCGGCGGTCCATCGACGTTGTGGATTGCCTCTGCTCCTCGACGTTCTCGCATCTACTCTCGTCGTTGTTGTTTGTGTTTGTAATGTTGTTGGTTGCGCTTGCATCTGATTCACTTTTCTCCTCGTCTTCACTATCTGAATAATCCACTGAAGAATTCACGGAAGAAGACGACCCTTCTGCACTGCTCAGATGGCTCACGGAATCCCATCTCTGTTTCATCATGTTCAGACGATTTGCCGCACTATTTTCGCGCCCAAAGGCTATTTGACCACCATTCATGCTCGGATGCATCAACTGTCTCAGGGACCTGTTCTGATTGGAAGTGTTGGCAATAGCTACATGTTGCTGGTTTTCGTGCCCGCTTGAACTCTCTGGTTCTCTGGAATCGTCTGCTACAGTTTCCGTTTTTGTTTGGCTTGTTCCCTCGTCCTCTTCATCGTTATCGACAAACGCTTTGTCTTCCAGCTTTTCGTTTTTTGTAACGTCCTCAATGGTGGCAACAGCAACTGTCCTAATTCCTTCCTTTTCATCTTTGTCTCCGCTTGTGTCTCCGCTTTTGATTTTTGGGATCACAGCCGAGTCATCCAACAGGTCCTGATACTGTTGTATCAGGTGCCGTTGTTGATTGACCATCCCGTAAGGCTGGGGTTGCGAAATAGCCGCCTTGTCTTCGCCAACCCCTTTGTTTCTATTTGTCTCCTTTTCGAATTCGACGTCTTCAGTGACCAAACCGGCTTTGCGGGCCTCTTCTTCTCGTTTTCTTCTTTCGGTATCTTCGCCGCTTCTTTTCGGATCAGAGCGCTGGTTGTGGTGGTGAACAGTGTCCTCGAGCTGCTGCTGCTGCTCATAGGCTGCTGCTGCGTGCTGATTGCCTAATATTGGAGGCTGCAGTTCGGATTGTGTTGTCTTTTCCCCTTCCAGCCCTGAACTGGCCCCAAACTGTTTGCCGTTTTCTCTGTCTACTCTTCTGTCATGCATGCCCCCATTTGTGCTGCTGCTGCTGCATCCTCGATCGTACTCTTCATCTTGCTCTTGATTCACTTGCGTCCAACTTCTTTGTGGGGTTGGTTCTTGGATCGTGGAAGCCATGCCCAAAAAACGCGAGAATGTCGAACTCATCAAATGTTGAGGTTCTCTCGCTGCAAAGTCGGCAGCATCGTAATCATGTTCGCTGCTGGGTTCGTCCACAAACACATCAGCATCGTAAAACTCTTCCGTCTCGGATGGCTCTGGAGGCGGCGACGGCGGCGGCTCCACCCATCTTCGGCCTAACGGCTTTTTCTGCTTCTTGTCTCTTCTCCGTCGTCCTTCCATTCTGTTCTACCCTTTCATCTCCTTGACTCTCCTTCTTGGCAATGAAGTACTACTAGCTAGACACAGCAAGGGTTGCGGGGTTGCTGATCAGGAGGAGGAGCTCGACAAATAGAAGAGATTCGAAAAGAGGGTTATGATGTGTTGCGTTGTGTTGTGTTGCTTGCGGTGTGCGTTGTTGCCGTGTTGCCGTCCCTTTGTTGACAATGAAACGGTGGTCTGTAAAAAATGACTGCGTGAACTGTTCTATATTTATTACGGTACTCAAAGCAAATAACAGAACGCCGCTTGTAAATCTCACGAAAAAGCCATTAATAATGAAGTTCCTCACAGGGTTGAGGGTCACTTGTACCGCTCTTGTACTTTAATTCTTGGTTTCCAGAAAATGCATCAATGTCTCTTCTGTGTGGTGTACTTCAATAAGTGGATGTTGTAGCAATAGTAAGATAGTAAGCCTTACTACTTATCTTTTAAGTCTTTATAAACACGTGTACATCCACCACCAACCGCCGTATCGCGAAACAACTGACTTGGCATCTTGGCATTGCTGATCCTGACGGCTGGATCGTTTCAAAGCACTACTGTACAGGTAGCAAGTAGGAAGAACCGGATCCGGTTCAAACTCCAACATCAGGGCTACACCGGTCCTACACCGGTCCTACACCTGCCCAACACCAGGACTCCTTGTTCTTCTCCAGCTTGGAGGCCCAGCCCAAGTCCTGGCCCCACAGCAGGACCTACACCAGATCCATATACCCAGCTCCAAACACCCAACACCAGGGCCTGAAATACTGCATCGACATAGGGACCAGTCCTGTCCCTGTGCCTGGCTTCAAACTACTAGTAGACCCACACCAGGACCCACACCAGGATTTGCATCTTGGCCTTGGCACAAAATCTGGTCCAAAACCCGGACTAACCGGCCCCGCATCAAGAGCAATCCATGCCAAGTCCAGTCGTTCAGGTTGAACACCTTGCCTCACAACAGCCAAGTCCTACTCCTACCGTACACAAGAACCTACCCAGCCCAAGTCCTGGCCTCACACCCAGCACTACACCCAGCGCCCAACCTGGCCAAACAGCCGGTGCAAACACCAGGACCTACACCTGGCCCCAGTCCACCACCGAGATACTGGCTAGTACCAGATTCCTTACAATACTACAGTCCCAAGTTTCTAAGTGCAAATCATTACTGTAGCTGTACACAGATATATCCAAGCTATCCTACATGATTTTGGCGGGAATCACCCCGTCTATCTTTTCATCTTCCTCGTCTTCTTCCTCATCATTCTCAATCTCCTGACCAAACTCATCGACCAGGAACCCTCTCAGCTCTTCGCCACCGCCGCCTCGCTGTTCATGTACATCATTCAAGAGCTCCTCATCCAGATACAAGTTACCATCATCGGTGACGTCGAGCATCTGAGCAAACCTATAGCCAATATTGAGGCTCTTGAACTCATAGACGTGCATCCCGATTACAGCACTCCCGCTGCTATTCTGCGTGCCGGACAGAGATACAATGATCTGGCGAAAATGAATATGTTTTCGTATGAACTCGGGATTGCAGATTTCCTCTGGCCACTTGCCATTATGTTTGAGAATGATACGCTTGGCAGTTGCCGACAAAAGTGGGCTCTCTCCGTTCAGCACATGGCGGACGTTCCAGACACGCTTGAAGAAGGGGTGAGTATCAGTTTCAATGTCGAGTTTCGAAAAGATCCGAATAGGAACAAGCCCACTGCCGGAATCCATGACCATATGCTTGGTACTCTGCCCAGTCGCGGCAAGGCCGGCCATTGCGAGTTGGTTTTTCAGTTCCTCTGCCTGTGCCTCGGCTTGACTAAAGGGCTCAAACTCGGATGTTTCCGAAAGAGTCTCCAGCGACGTCACGTCCGACATTGTGGCACCTGGTCCTACCGGTACCATGGTGGAGGATGGCGTTGCTATGGCCCGATTCACACGTTGAACAAACGTTCCCGACAACTTGTTTTTCGCAGCACCCGAAGCATTCAAGACTGCCTTGCCAGTCTTTTGCGTCACCACTCCTTTTGTTTTCCTTAAAACAGCAGCCGTTGTCTGTGCCGACTTCTTGGTAATCTCTTTGCTTAACCTCAGTAGACTTGCTGCAGAGAGTGTCTCCTGGCGTTTTTCGGTGAGTTGCAACGATTCCATCGATTTGCTGGCCTCCGTAGAGGCTACAACATTTAGGGTTGCATTCATAATTTCTCCACCTTTCTGATAGTTCAGCATGTTGATCACGCGGAACTCAATGATTGGCGGCGGGTACTTCACAACCTTTTGATTGGCATTGCTTTTTGAGCTCTGGTCCATTTTGTGATCTTGTCCCTCCTTACCCGGCGGTTCTGGATTGTTCTTGTCATCTTTGTCGTCCTCTTCGTCGCTATCGCTGTCATCATCGTCCTCCTCATCGGCGCCGTCCTTCTTCTCACCAGGTTTGGGTTCTACCACGCCTTTTCCGTAGCGAATCACCATGGGAGAGCTCCACGATATTTGTGCAATGGATTGAATCCGCGCGATTTTGCCAAAGATGATACTGCCACAAAAGGCAGCAAACAAGACTCCGACAAACGATTCCAATGTCACCATGAAAGAGAAGACAAAGCAGTCGGGGCGCGCATCGATCGACCCCTTGTTCACTTGAGGGTACACAATGCCGTAACCCTGAAAAAGAAGGAGTGATTGCATCGAGGAAGAAGGACCCATGTTCAGATATCTGTACAAGGCCGAGACACAGGGTAGATGTTGACTTGTCTGTGCACACTTACCACAGTAGAAAAGGTGGTCCAGCTCAACTGGAACGCGTCCATAAAATAGAAATGTTCTCTCCACTCCGGGAATTCCTCCAGCGAAGATCCTGTTTCACGACAGACAGGCACAAACAAACAAATCCCATTGTGAGCTGGAGAGTGAAGCAAGCAAACATGAATTCATGGTGGGGTAATAAAACGCACCCGCGACCACGAAGCAACGAGGACTTTCCAGGGCTCCAAGATAAATGGCGACAGTCCACAACAAAGAAATAACCATAAAAGCAATGAAATCTGTTATAATGATTTCGATAAAACTTGCTCGGAATGTCCACTGCAAGTACCAAGAAACCAAACTGAATTCTTTCCTCTGACCCCATCTGGACTTCTGTGTGACAAGAAAGAAAGATACAAGCAGGAGAATGGAATTGAAAGCTCGTTTGTGAGGATCTGCAATGATGTGAATTTCCACCTGGGCTCCGACAACAATCTATCTTTCCAACTGACCTCAATATTCTTGGCACTCATTCGATACTGAGGCACATCATCATCTTCTGTGTTGTCATCACCATCCTCAAATTTGGCAATTGCTTGCCCCAGTTTCACTTTTCGTTCCACCGGATCCATGGGATCCTTGCAATCCCACACGGGTTGTGCCGAAACTTCTCGGCGAGTGCAGGCGCCAGTTTCAATGTCTACTCGTTTGCGGCTTCGAACCAGATTGGCCGAGGCAAAGGCTCTCTCTTTAATAGGTTTCTCCAGGCCATCCTTGTACAGATAGGCCATGGACCTGGGGTTTTCGGCACCTTCCTTGATCTTCTCTTCCACTGAAAACGACGTTGCAATGTTGTGGCCACCTCGGTTTTCATCTTCTTCGACCTTGACCATTGGTTCTTCTAGCTTGGTCAATGGTTCTTCGGTCAATGGGACGGCCGCCCCTTCCTTTGCGCCCACTGGAATAGGTGGAATCGAAGCAACGTGAACATTTTCTTTAAAGGACACTTCCTTCTTCAGATTGTCGTTGTCATCCGAAATAGCGGCGTTCTGGAAGCCGCCTTGCAAAGTGCTGCTGGCGGTGATTGTCGGTTCCTCCGTGCCGGCCTTGAGCTTGCCGTCGTCATCCGCAAAAGCCGCGTCCTGGGAGCCGCCGGTCAAAAGGCTGCTGGCGGTACCTGTCGGTTCCTCCCCGGGCTGCATCGTCTCTTCCTCTTTGGCACCTTTGTCGTCTTCGTCCATTGTTCAAACAAATACTTTATAACAAAGAGTGACAGTCGGTCGCGATAATGACTAAACCGAAGCCTCTGCAAGGCTTCCGTAGAAAACTACCCCGCGATACCGGTACTGGTAGCCACCTTCATTCATTCGACACTTTTGCCGGAACACTTGCAGAGTGTCAGCCAGGGGCCCGTAATAAAAAGACATCAAAAAGGCATGTGATTGCCAAAGTGTTCCGTTAAAGTAAGCCGGTGCAGTTGACTTGCCACCTCAGCCGACGAAGGCAAAATACCTCCGACTGCGTCCAAGATCCAAAAACGATCTCATCGATCGTTGCTTCTTCACCAAACTTCCGACCTTGGCCAAGGACGCAACTACAGCCACCAGACCAACAGCAGGAGTCTCATTTTTGTTGCATACTGAGTATCACTGACAGGAGGCCCCACCCTACTAGCTAACTGTACTAGTAGCCTTCAGGTCTATATCTTTTGTTCTGGAGTTTCCAAGCTAGTTTTACCGATGGCGTCTT